GATTCTTTTTACTTGCAATAAAGCCCAGAAGGGAAATGAAGAACAGTCCAATAAATTAAATTTCCTGAACGAACTTCAATACATTGCCATTCTTCCTCTTCGATTTATGACATCATGACTCAGGGTTGCCAGGCTACCTGAAAAACCATCAGGGAATTCAAAAGCTGAATAAAAAAATCAGGGAATTTAAGTACTTTAGTCAAAATCTGGAAAATTTAATTTCATATGGTGATCTCTCCCCAAATAAAAAGTGATTTTTACGCCAATGTTGGAAGCAATCACTTTCTTGGCAAATTATGTATCTCATGAGCTTCATTCGACAACTGGCATAGAGCCAATTTTCACAGCTTCCAATCAGATTGTCTTTTAGAAAGGCAAATCAAGTTTCCAGTAACCTTGAGAATCGAGAGATTCACATGTTGAACTAAAGAAAATACCTTCCCATTCTGGTATAAAACAAAATCGGTTTAATCCTAGTATACAGTACACACAGGATTTAACGACATTATGATGAGCAGTAAAGGGTCATTTTGGTGTTGGCAACAATTTTCAAAATCGTGCCAAGGCCGCATCATATACTAATATTTTACCAGAAAATCTTCAACCTTTGTTTTAAATTTTTATTAAATGTCTTATTTGTCATTTTGCAGTAAAATAAAAAAAAATAATAAACAGTCATCTAAGCTAACCATTTAATATAATTATATTTGCCAAATGTCATTGATTATTGTAATTCAGTTTTTAATCTTAAAGTAATTTATTTTAATATTATTTGTATCATTTAATGTTGCTTCTTCCATCTAAGTTTATTTATTATTATTTAACAATACTTTCAATTTTCAGGCAGTTTTCTCTGCATACTCCTGAAACTAATTCTAGCAGTATGATGACCATCATGAAATTTAATGCAAATATTTTTTGCTTATGTATACTGCTAAATAAATATAAAAATACCTGAATTTATTTTAAAATATCGTTAAATGAAATTCCTTCCTTTATTTAGCTGCAAAATGTCTGCGAAAAAAGACATTTTTTTTTAAATCCAAGATTGGGCAGATTGTAATCTCAGTCTTCAGTGGAGAAAACAACTATAATAATAATAATAATAATGCTATGGGGATTATATATATATATAAGTTATATGTATGTTACCTCACAGCACAGCCTAAGCGCACTACGCGGATAGACTGGAGTTTTTTTAAAACACGCCTGGAAAACCTGGAGAAGTCATGGAATTTCATTCAACACTAAAGAGTGAGATAATCTTGAATCGGATTGCATGAGTTGCCAAGATGACATTGTGGCATCCCACAGCTCGTTTGCATTTCGTATGCCTCTATAACTGATAGTCATTTTAAGACGAGACCATACGGTCTCAAAGGGGTTCAGATCTGCTCCTTTGGCATGAGGCAAAAAAAGTTTGCCAATCAAGCCACTCTTTGACGAGGCTTGCACGATGAATTGGGGCTTTATCATGTTGAAAATCAAATAGCCTGTCAAAGAAATGGTTGTCTAACACTTCTGGCATCATGATATGCTCAGGAATGTCATGATAGATAGTTGCATTGAGATTTCTGTGTAAAGTTTCAAGTCTGTTAGCAGAGATGCAGCCCCATGCAGAAATAAAAAATCAGCCACTTTTTCTGACATTATGAAAATTGGAACGTTGACACAGAGGTCTCCAAACCCGTATTCGCCCAGAATAATCAGACTGGATGTAGCTTTCATTGTTGAACAAAACATTACCCCATTCAGAATCTACCCAGCTAGAAAACTGATTACAAAAGTTCAGTCTCTCCTGAATATGAAGACCAGTCAAAGCAGGCTTATGAACTGCAAGCTTGCAGTGGAAATTTTTGTCATGCAGTCTGTTTTGCACTGCTTGAGTGGAAACCTGCAAAGAGGCAAATACATTTGTTAAATTCTCAAATTATGTAGAAATATTTCATAAATTCTACACAGTTATAATAATAATAATAACTTCCTTTTTACTTCCATGTACGAAGTATAAAATAAATATTGTAATCGTAAAAAATTTCAGGAACACACTTTATTTCAACAAAACTGTTTTTATTTTAATGATATTTTTATTCATTTTTATGTCATTGATTCGTAGATTCACCATTCCAAAAAATTTCCTAGAAGTTGAAAATATATATATATATAACTGCTATAACATCTAGTTGTGCACCTCTCTTTCTTATTGCAGTCAGTCAAACATGTATATATATGTGTGTGAGAGTGATAATAAATTTAAAAAAAAAAAAAACACTTTTGGGGAGTTTAAACTCCTCAAAGTTAATTTTAAACTTTTTAAAAATACTTAGAAATGGCCTTTTAATTGATTCGAATAATCATTTTACATTTAAGGTTTATTTAACCAAATACATAAAGTTTAAAAAAAAAGTGCAAATTATGCACTTTTTAAATAATATTAAGGTTTGTGAATAACTACACATATTTTAATATTTAAAAAGAGTCACATGTAGTTTTAAAGTGTGGTTTAACCCTCTCACTGCATACTTTTTTTTTATCAAAATAGGTTCAAAAATTGCTTATTTTTTATTACATAATTTAAATTTACGTATATTTTAGAGTTAAAATATACAAAAAATTTTTGTAAAAGAGTTTTTTTTTCAATAAAGAATTAGATCATAGAAAAGTTATCAGAATACTGAAATTGAAGAATAATGATATAAAATTAAAATTTTGAAAATTAATTAAATTAATATGTTAAATTATGATTTATTTTATGAAATATAAAGGTAAAACATATGTACTAATGAAAATATTTGCATAATGTAATGTTTTGCATATCAGTTTTGCACCACTGTCGAACATTTTCAATAGAAACTGAATTTTCAGATTCATCACTATCTGCAGAGGAATCCGAGAAATTTTCATCAGTTTCGCTATAACTATATGCAATCTACTTGAAATCAGACTCAGAACTACTATCAGTGTCGGAAGTATCGTCAGGAATATAGGTTATATCACTCGTGAAATGCTTCCTGCCTGACATCTTTGAGCTCTGAAAAGAGCGCGCAAAATGCTACATTATGTATTCTTGTATATTTGGCAGAAATGCGTACAACTAACACCATCTCTTAGCCTACATCTAAATAAACAGTTAAACTTCACAGTTAAATAGACATCAAAAATTCATCCTCGCGGAATAGCGGGTTGCACGAATTTTGCAACATTTACGTTGCCCGTGGAAATCATGGGATGCGCAATGAGATGGTTAAAAAGAAATACTATATTTTATTTTGCAGAAGAAACCTTAAGTTTTTTAAAGTTTTAAAATTATTTTTAAGTATAACAAGAAAGTTTTGCTGCTTTCCTAATAAAAATTCGAACAGAATATTAAATTTAAGATAATGCAACGATATTTTGGAAAGAAGGCAGAAAAAATTTTTTGAAAATTTTAATTCATTCTATGTAAAATCTTACTTCCTATAAAATGCTTTGCAATTCCACTAAGCCATATTAAACTTTGAGTTCTTTTGGGCGATCGTTAACATTTGAATCCTTTCAGATATTATTGTTATTAGTATTATTTATGTTTTCATCTGTTTATTAATTTCTAGAGCATGCACAAATTTTAGTAATTGCTACGCTTGCAATGGATGAAGGAAAGCATAACTATTAAACTTTTTTTTTTTTTTTTTTGCTTACTAGGCAAACAAACTTGTGCATGTGTTAAAATGCATATTTTAAGTGAAGTAATCAGCTATTATATTTGTTAATAGTTGTTAAGTAAAGCAGCACAAAACAACAGCAAAAAAAAAAAAAAAAAAAAAAAAAAGAAGAAGAAGAAGAAGAAGAAGAATGTGTAATATATTAGTATGAGAAATACTTAGTTGCTGAACAAACGATGAATTCTGCTTTTAGGATGGCCAGTGATTTCGGCTATTTGCCTGAAAGATTTTCCAGATTCGAAATGTCCCAGAACTTTTCAAACACGCTGCTTGCTTAAAGACATTGTGAAAATAAACATCAAACGAATATGATAGACAATTCGATTTAAATGAAGTTTAATGTAACAGACAATAACACGGTGAAGGTAAAAATTCACTCATACAAATATTTAAAAGAAAAGGAAGAAAGAATTTTTTTTAAAAATGTTAAAAATTTGAACAATATCATCTATAGTTTTAAAAAAAAAGCTTTTCATATAGTATTAATAAATATTTATTATGCATCATTTAGGGAAAAATTTCCATATAATTAATTGTCCTTAAAATTTTATTTGAAATTTAATGTTAAAAATATTTATTCCTTTAAAAGTTTACAAGAACTTTCTTCATTTGCAGGCGATTCCCCCAAGCACATTTAAAAATTTAGCTGAAAACTAAGTATCACAATTTGTCTTCAGAGCTTTTAATGCAATGAAACAGCATGTACGAAAATGGGGATGCGGTTTATTCAAACTTAACGTTACTGATATCATTACCTGAAGAATTTTTATGCGTATGGCTGTCATACTTTGGCAATATCTACCAAGGTATTTGCGATAATACCAAAGTATCCTAAATTTTTATCTGATATGTAACGTCTGAACACCTGTGTCGGGTGAAAAGAAAGAACAGTTGTCTTTTAAATACTTATTTTAGAAACTTAATAAGAATTTCTTGATTGCTAATAAATAAAATAATCAACCATTACAGCCATAATACAAACAATGGCCGCTGGGTGCAGCCATGACGCTGTTTGCGTCTTCTTCCAAGTCTTTCACTGCACAAAAAGCTCATACAAAAGGCTCTCTCTTTCGTTTTGTTAAATGTCTTGTCGGAAATACCTAGTCTCTGGACAAAACAGGACGTTCTCATTAAGCAAATGTTTGACAGAGGTGTGCATATTTATCAATCATGCTTATAGTCAACCAAATGTTTATATAAAATGTTAATGCTAAAGTGTTAAATGTAATTATATATTAAAAGTTAAATATGTGGCTGTTTATTTTTACTTATGATTGATAAAATGTTCTAATTTCATAGATGGTGATCGGGACCGACGAGATGGTGGAAGTGATAGAACTATGGGAGACTGGCGGTTAGACCGGAGAGATCAGTTTTCTAGAGATGACGCATCCAGAGGTAGTTTTCAATTTTCTTTCCATTATTACAAATTAAATTTAAAAAATAGTCTGCTGCTATGTTGGCAGAGAGAGGGGGGAGGAGCCAGCTGCTATAGCCTTCTGCTCACATTCTAAGTTTGTAGAAGGCTTAATGCCTTTGGGGCATGGGGGCACTTAAACTACTATTAAACCAAAAGATTTTCAAGAGGTTGATAAAAGGAAAACTATGGTAGAGGAAGCTTAAACGAATATTTTTCCTCAAAATTAGGATGGAGTTAGGTAAACAAATGTATGCTGTTATGTATAAGAATCCATGGCTTAAATGAATGGCTGACAAAACCTCTACCTCTTAGCTGGAATAACATTCATGAATTAATCTGATATTACTATCAGACAGGTGAGATACATTGCAGCAACAAACAAAAATAGTTAATGTATAGGTTTGCAATATGATGTTATGGTTTTCGCTATGAAGTTGCAGTCTTTGAATGCATCAATGTGCATAATATGTTTAGAGGTATGTCATTGGCCATGTATAAATCACTAAACACTCTTTTTGAGTTTTGTTTCCTGAGGCATATGTTTGTTGTTAATCCATTTGAAAGTACTAGAAAATAAAATCAAAGAAACGTAGAAAATATATCTTATTTATTCAGAGATGCTAATTTTGGCTATGAAACTTGGGACTTGCTATTTACGTAATTGGTTAAAAATATTATACAGTCAAAAGTCGTTAATTTGGACACCCATAATCCGGAATGATTTATAATCTGGAACACAAAGCTACAAACTTTCTGCATGTATCACGTTGACGCATGCACGTAAGACCTTTACGGCTGCGAATATGCGTGTGCGCAAAATACGTTTACGAATGCGCGTTTAATGTATAACAGATGGTATAAGCTAAGCTAAAATTATCCAATTCAGTTAATGTTGCAGATTGCGTTGTTCCTTAATCTTCGAATTGGATTCGGCTTATTATTTTTTGCAGACTGTTAGAGCAATTTTATAAAAGTAAGCTTGAACTTTTGATTATGTCAAATAGAATTTCTGATATATATTTACTAATATGTAAAGGATCTACAAAGCGAAAGTATGTTTCGAAGTCCATTAAACAAAAAGTGGAATTGCTGCAAAAAATGGATAAAGGCATATCCTTTGTTTATCTAAACTTTAATGTTTCTTTATCTAAACTTTGTTTATCTGTAACGCCGCGGCACGCAATGAATTAGAAGTTGATCTGTAAGCACTATCCTTATCTTCAGGGCAGATGTTTTTATTTTATTTTGCTTATAATTCCTTACTAAATGTAGTATTTTATCTCGATGTACTCTGTTTTTGATATGATTTAAATCAAATTCTTCGTCATTATAATTTGCTTCCGACAGCGAAGAAAGTAACAGAGGTTATTGAAAATGAAAAAATTTCGATTGACAAATTAGTCGGTATTCTCGACACAGCAATTATAGGACTTGAACAGCGGAACTTTGTAACTGAACAAGAAATTATGTCTGTTTATAAAATTAAAGAGAATTTATTATCACATAAAAAACGAAGCAACTTAAACAACTTACATTGAAAAGAAATGTTTAATAAAGTAAACAAATAAATATTAAGCTTTTTTTTTTTTTTTTTTGTAAATTTTGATACCCTTTAGATGATAATTGTTCTTTATTTCATAAATCACGGTTTCATATTTTTAATTTTATAATTTCTGCATGCCATCTTACCAGATTTAAACTGATGATCTATAATCCAGAATTTCCGAAGTCCCGACGAGTCCGGATTAATGACTTTTGACTGTATTGCTTTTGAAAAATACATTAGTGAGTCAGAAGGAATTAAATTATAAACTGTGTATAAAAATTATTTTATCTTCGAAAATTCTGAACTTTGTTTTCTTTTTGTGAAGAACCTACAAATATTAACAATATTATTTGAATTTTAAATGTGCTTGCGAAAACTTTAAAAAAGCTTATGATATATTTTATATTATAAATTCTGATTTCATTAATGCTGGTTTTTTTTTGGGGGGGGAGCTTTTTGTTTATTTAAATATTTATGTTGTTTGTTTGTACTTATTATAATAATTTGTATTTTGTATAGATGGCTATATGTCCGGCAGAGGTGGTTTTCAGGATCGAGAACTTTACAGACCAAGATCTAACTATGATAAAGATAACGGTTTTTCTAAAGATCGTTATGAAAGGAATGGTGACAGATATGATCGCAATGATTATGGCTACAAAAATGATAGAGAATTCGGCAAGGATCAAGATCGTTTTGACAGGCGAAGTAATGACCGAGGATATGGTTTCTCAGATAGAGGTATGTATTTAGATTAAAGCTTTACTTTTTATGACTATCAGTTTACCTCTTTTGAGTGGGAGAGAAATTTCACTGATGTATGAAAACTGTAGCAAATAAATTTACTCTAAAAGAAGGTAGAATTTTGTGACTAACCCATTCACGACGAGCTTCTCTGTTACCCAAGCGTTGTCGTGGGACAGCGCGTTAACCGGATGCGTCATCTTGTGGGGACGGGCAATTCGTGCTGCTAAGCCTAACTTTGGAAAATAATTCGTATAACTTAAATTTTTCATACGATTGTTCCAATTTTTTATACATTATGAGAAGAACATTCAGGTAGTTGTTAGAATTAATTTTAAAGCTTTATTATTATATTTTCTTTAAAAAATTTTTAAAATACTCATTCTAGAATAATATAATTTTCCCCTTATCCCACAAATAAATATATATGGAAAAATATCCAACAATCTCAGATTTTATTTAATACAACACATAATTAAAATTATTAAAAAAATATTAAAACTGTCTTTCATAAAAATTCAACGTGCAAGCAACGAAAAGGAAGCAATTTTTCAAAAAAGAGTGTATAATATTCTTTGAAACATGGGCGTAAGCAAAGTCCAACCTTGCATATGTCACAGAATAGAATACTTGCTGCTATTTTACTCAGCAAATTTGACTCATTTAGCATTTGTGTATGTTGTTCTAGGGTTAGTTAGTGCTTTCCTTAAGCGATACAAAATATTTCTTTCAATGCCGGAAAACTCAAAGAGAAATAAAAAAATTCTCTAATGATAGAACATCTACTCCACTATAATGGGATAAAAAATTAAATTAAAAATAAGGAAAATTAATAAATTAAATTCAAAAGTATTCCAGAGCATCAAGAACATGTTCAATAGTTTATATAAAATGACACAGTAAGAGCCATTGCATTACTCAACACTAACGAATTAGCATTTGTGTATATTCTACGTTCAGAGTTCAGATACTGCTTTTTTTTTTTTGCCATTAAAAAAAAAAAATAGGTTTCACTGACCATACAAAATATTCATCCCAATGCCGGAAAAATCTAAGAGTAATGGAAAAAAAAAAGGAAAAATCTAAGAGTAATTAAAAAAAATCTCTAATGATAGAACATCTGTCCCACTATATCATAAAAGTAAAAAGTACCTCAATGCAGGGAGAACACTCGCATTTGTTAATATCAAATGACACAGTTCACCATAACAGACATACAGCTAAATCTAGCGGCAATAAAAAATACTAATTAAATATTCTATCTAAAAAGTCTAATAAGGTACACCCAGCCATAGAGTGAATTAAATGGCGATTCAGATATCACACACCCGGCCGTGGTACAAAATAGGATACAAATATGATACATATGAAATATGATACAAAAATGTAAATACAAAATATTTACATTTTTGTATCATATTTCAGATTTAGTGAATTTTTATTTTCTAATATAAATGCACAGCTGGCAACAGAAGTAGGTTACATTACCTTAAAAAAATAATGGAACAAAATAAAATAAAAAAATTAAAATATTAACCTGGGAATGGCGGAACACCTGTTGCAGGTGGGAACCTTATACTTTATAGCTTTAGAGAGTGTATGCAAGCTTTTATTTGACATTTCAGAACACCTGTTCTTGCTTTTCAGTAATTTCAGGGAGTTTTTCATTTTTACCTATTGTTTTTTTAGTAAAAAATAGGGGTGTAGGATAAATGAATTAAGGTAGCAGTCTGTATGCAAATGGAAATTCATTAAATTACTCTCTAAATTCATTAAATCACTGAAAGCAGCAAAAGTATTTCATAGAAAATGCGATGGAAAACTACATAAATGTATGAATTTTAAAAGTACTCGTTATATTTGTTGAATGTACGAATGCCATTTTTTTCCAGCTTTTGATGGACCATGGGAAAAAAATAGGAGTGAAGAACAAAATGAGTTATGTGCAAACATGGGTTACTCTTTGACAAAATTGCTACCAATGGCAAAAGATAGGCCTGGACATTGGTCTGGAATATTTAGACTTCTATCCAGTTTTTCAGTTCATGAAGAGATGAAAATCACATGGGCTATCTGCTGTGTAATCAAATATGTTTCATTATTTATGTACAACACCATTATTGATATGGTTTTCACCCTATATTCCACTAATTCTTCTTTGCATTTTTGTGGCACTGTTCCCTTCTAATGTTTAATAAAGTAAACATATTAAGCTTTTTTTGTAAATTTTGATACCCTTTAGATCAGTGGTTCTTAACCAGGAGTGCCCGCACTCCTGTGGGTACGGGAATGTATTTTTGGGGGTGCGGGAGAAGCCCCTACCTAATGATAAAAATTATTAAATATCATTTATTAAATTTCTTATAATGAAATATTTGAAATCTGCACTAGTGTCCCCAATACTGAAGCTCATAAAAATTGGTAGCACCTAGCTCACTTATGGGCGAAAGACACAGGAAAGAGCCAGTGCCGATGGGCGTATACACTACTCTACGAAAAGGCATGAAACGCTACAAACGAACGAGAACAGGCAGCTACGTGACGGAGAAAAGAAAAAAAACTTTGAGAGAATACAAGCGTGACCTTCAAGAAACCTCGATAGCCACGAAGCCACGATACAAGCAGAGAACGTTATCCGAGCTTGCGCATGCGCTGAGTTCAACACGTGCTACTCCAATGAAATCTACGGATTCACAGATTTGTATCTGCATCTACTGCGCCTGTGTTAGGTTGAGTCAACTATTGTGTCTGCGACATGTGTATTGTGTATTCTGACTTGTCCAGAAACTTCTTGGGACTAATACATTCTTAATTGCCCGTTCAAGCCGAATAGAATTCAGTGATATTACAAACGTAAGAACATTATATATATTATATTACATTATTTCTAAATAATTAAATCGATTATAGTGAACCCCACTATGTAAAAAAAAAAAAAAAAACGACAATGAAACGATAAGTATGCCGGTTATGGATTTACTTGCACAACCGAAAAAGATGGCATGCAACGACCGCAATGCATTGTGTGTTATATTTTCAAACAGCAATCTCAAACCATCAAAGTTATTAGAATATTTCAACAATGTGCATGGTGGCGAAAAAGCACATAGCATGAACAGCTTGAAGTCAAAGAAGGCTCGGTTTGATACCAGTGGAACTATCCTAAAATTGTGCCGACCAGCAATTCAAAAACCTTTATTAGAAGCGTCATATCAAGTGGCATATTTATGTGCAAAGCGTCAATCCTTTATTTGAAGCGTCAAAAAAAAAAAAAAAAAAAAAAAAAAAAAGAAACCTCACACGATTGCTGAAGAGTTGATTAAACCTTCTGCTTTAATTATTGCTAAAACAGTTTTAGATTCGGAAGCACATAAAAAAATCCAATAGATTCCATTATCGAATGATATTATGCGATCACGAATACAAGATCTCAGTGAAGATATTCTAATGCAGACATAATTGAAGACATAAAAATCAGTCCACTAAAAATAAGCATGCAACTGGATAAGTCAACTGATGTTGATAATTGTAGCCAACCTTTGGTATTTGTCAGGTATGTGAAGGAAAATGAGGTGATAGAAGAATTTCTATTTTGTGAGCCACTGGAGGTGAATACGAGAGGAATTGATATTTTCAATCGCATCAAAGATGTTTTTACTAAATATCAATTACCAATGAATGTGATTAACTCAATATGCACTGATGGAGCCCCAGCAATGTTAGGCAAAAATTCAGGATTTTTTTCACACATGAAAAGAGAATTACCGGAAGTTATAATAACGCATTGCATATTGCATCGTCATGCACTTGCGTCGAAAGCATTGCTAGAAAGTTTAAAACAACATCTAACTACAGCAGTAAATGTAGTAAAATACATCCGAGGGCGAGCGCTTAATCATCGCATTTTTCGTGCATTTTGTGAAGAAATCGGTGCTGATCATACCATGCTCCTATATCACACCGAAATACGATGGTTATCTAAGGGTCGCATGCTTAACAGAGTTTTTGAATTGCATGAGGAAATTATTCAATTACTAACTAGTCAAAACTGTTATTTAGTAAAAGATTTTGAGAGTAATGATGCAATGCTGAGGCTGGCCTACTTAGCAGACATATTTAGCCATTTAAATGAACTGAATCTATCAATGCAAGAATTTGGTATAAATATAATAATATCTAGTGAAAAATTATCTTCATTTATCGCAAAATTAGAAATTTGGATACGTCGAGTAGAAAAAGGGGAATTTTGCGAACTTTCCCTTGCTTGATTCTGTTATTGCGAAAAATGAAAAGAATACAATTATACCCGACATTGTAATACATTTGAGACGATTGAGCAAAGCATTCAATGGATACTTTTCTACCGGAAATATTACCAAAACTCAGAGATGGATGCTGGATCCATTTCTATTTGACTTAAATTTGATGGATGATAGTGATCTGAAAAAAGATCATCTTATTGAAATGCAAGCAAGTGGACATGTTCAAATGGAATTCGAACAATTAGAGATTTGCAACAATTCTGGTGTTCACAGTTACAACAACGTTATCCAGAGTTGGCGAACGGAGCACTGCAGTTACTCTTACCCTTTTGCTACCAACATACTTGTGCGAAATGGGATTTTCATCGCTTTTGCATATAAAATCTAAAGCGAGAAATCGCTTAAATGCAAGTGATGACTTACGCGTATGTCTTTCAAAAAAGGAACCTCGCTTCGCCAGTATAATAATGCACAAACAACAACAGACTAGTCGTTAATAAAAATAATATTGTTTTGTATATTTATATAAAATGTGCAATGTTTTTCAATAAACAATAAGTTTTACAAAAAATGTATTTTTCTAGACTAAAAAAATTTAAAAACATTTTTCAATGGGGTGCGGGAGATATATTTTCAGATTCAATGGAGTGCGACTCGCTAGAAAGGTTAAGAAACACTGCTTTAGATCATAATTGCTCTTTATTTCATAAATTATGATTTCATATTTTTAATTGTATAATTTCTGCATGCCATCTTACCAGATTTAAAATGATGATCTAAAATCCAGAAAATTCCCAAATCCAGAATCGCCGAAGTCCCAACAAGTGTGGATTTCGGACTTTGTACTATACATAAAAGAATTATCAGAAAATTTAAGAGGATTTATATCATAATAAATGCAGTTCATGGTAAAAAATAATAAAAAGTCTGGTCTAAAACTGTAAAAATAATCATCTTATATGTAATCAAAAGCTTAAGATTATGCAAGATTCTGATGCATTTCAGACAAGCTAATGTATTTTCATAGTTGAACAAATTTCATTCTTAAAAAAATTAGATTATTGAAACTGAAAAAATTTCGATTGGCAAGTTAGTCGGTATTCTTGACACAGCAATTACAGGACTTGGAACAGTGGAACTTTGTAACTGAACAAGAAATTATATCTGTTTATGGAATTAAAGAGAAAGTATTACCACAAAAACAAAGCAACTCAAACAACTTACATTGAAAGAAATGTTTAGTAAAGTAAACAAATAAATATTAAGCTTTTTACTTAACATGCTAAACAAATTTCTGTTTATGCAGCAAAAAGTAGGCATGTTTATTTTATGTAGGTAGTTATATTAATTGCAAGAGATGTTATTGTGATCATTTTATTTATGCTAATTTGTAGAACCATTCCATGAATTTTGGAAAACTTGGGCATGAATGGAATATTTCTTAAATGAATTTGCATTTGATTTTTTTTTTTTTTTTTTTTTTTTTGTCCAGCTTCATGTTATTGTCTAAATTGTTGTGCATTGAGATATGCTTGAAGTATTGTCTGCAATCATTTAATTTAATTTTTAAGGTTCAAATCGAGGAATTGGTAGAAATGATCGTAGGGATGGCAGAGATTCCCGTGATAATTATGGTAGAAGAGAAGATTCTGGTCGTGATATGAGGTACAGGGATTCTTCTGATCGAGACCTTCCTCCCCGTGATGGTTATGACAGGAGGCCACCTGACAGACCATCATACGATTCAAGTATTAAAGCATTATATAGAATTTTAAGAGACCAATTTGTTATATAAGTGTGTTTATGCAAATAATACTTTTTTGTGCATTGTATTCATGATGTGCCCAGTAATCTTAATTGCCTTAGGAGATTTTAGTGGATATATTTTATTTCAAATTAAAGTTTTATAACTTTTATCCATGCATTAAAATTAAAGTTCAATCAAGATTAAAGATGAAATTTTGATGCATTATAAAATGTAGCATATTTGTATATTATAATAATAGAAATAATTTAAAATAGTTCCATATTTATATAAAAATATTTTTTCTGGGTTAAAATATTGGTTCTGATGTTTTAAAATAAAGCAGTGGTTTTCTAATGCAAAGTTTGGAGTAGAGATCTTTATTAAAAGAAACTGAGCTTCTCTCGAGTTCTTAGGAAGCAGTAATCCATCATAAAATTTGTGACTTCCACAAAGAATTAGATTTTTAAGAAATTTTGATAGCTTTACGTACATAGTTTTGAAAAAAAATTGTTCCTGTCAAGTCTTACTGATATTTTTTAAATCATTGTTAAACCATGGTCAGTTAAAAGTGATTCAGAAATTTGTAGTAAATTATTTAACCTAAGAAAGAGATATGTTATACACTAGTGTGCAAAACTTAAGCAACTTTTATGATTTTACCTGTAATTCTGCAAAAAATTAAAATAGGAATTATGAAATTCATACTACTGAGGCACAATGTAGAGCAAAGGATGAGGAAAGTATAGTAGCAGAAAAGATGAATAGGATACATATATTATGGAGAGGGGGAGAGAAATTCTTTACTGGCAGAATGGCTTTGGTACAAAAAACCCTGCGACCAAGAGGAAGCAACAAACCAAAGAACCTTAGTTAAGAGATATGACCTTCTCCTAACTGCAGTGGTTGCATTTCACTGTCTGTTGATACTAATCAGTTGATACTAATAGGATCCTCGGATAAGAGTTTCTGTTCTTCAAGAAGTATGTGTTTCATTTGCAAGATCATGCCACCAGGTACCTTCCTAAAGTATCCCACACATGTTCAGTGGGATTTAAATCAGGGGAACATGCTGACCAATCTATTCTGTGGATATCTTTACTTTCCAAGACCTCTTAAATAGTTTAAGTTCTGTGTGGCTATGCATTGTCATCCATGGAAACAAAGTAGGGTTTATTGACACCCCGGAAAAGATGTAGTGAGGATAATTTCATCATTGTCACAATCTCTGCTGAGTGAACCTCTGTCAAAAATTGTAGAGCACCTATCCGTCTGTTCATCATAATACCTCCCCATACCAGCATGCAAGGACCGCCTCATCTGTCTTTTCCCATGATCCCACTAATGTGGGATGAAAGCATGTCTTTACCTGTCTGCATATCATTTAGTGCCGAGAATTACGTGCCAGACTGAAATGACTCTTGTTGTTATAGAAAATATGAATCCATTGATGAGATATCCAATCTTTGTGTTCTTTACACCACTGTAAACAGTGCTGCTGATGGGGCTGTTGTCAGTTGTATGCATTCAGAACAGTAGGTAAATAGGCCAGCCACCTTAATGAAGTCATTCAGCGCTAGTAAACTGGGACACCTCCAGTCTGGTTGCCATGTGCGGCTGCTGTGCAATGCTTCTCTCTATCTGATTTTGAACTCTTTTCACCTGCAGGGTCATATATCAGTCATCAGTCATTGTTTCCCTGGCCAACCACCATGCAACTACACCTGTAGTTCGGAAAGCTTTCCAAGCTTATGAAACTACGCTTCTATCAGCTTTAAACTTTAGGGTGACTGATGTCAATCGAGCATCTCCTCGAGCTTGCTAATCATTTTATTATGTGTAAATATGTCCTGATGTTTTCATATTGCGCATATAATCTAACTTTCACTTGAAGAAGAATGCCTGGATGCTCCTTCCTTCCTTTTTAAGTTGCCTTGCACTTAAAAAGACTTCTCACATTTTTCATGCTTCTGGTACCATGTTACTGATATTTTGCATACATATTATCTTTCTACTGAGCTTTTTTTTTTTTTTTTTTTCCCATTGTTCTGATTTTAAAAAGCTGTTTTTAAGAATTGCATAGTTATATGTTGAAAAATAAGTTTGTTGTTTAAGTTTTGCCTACTAGCATATTTAATGCAGTAAAAGTTGTTCTGAAAGCCAAAGGGTTAGAAACAAGTAAGAAGATTTATTAAGAGAGTTTATTAAAAGTAGGATTTTAATTAGTGAAATCAAAAATCATTATTAAAAATAATCTGAAAGGTTTCAGATTTTAAATTGCGTTTAAAGTCACGTTTTTTTTTAGCAATTTGTATGTTACCTTTATTTATTAAATGTCATATTCTTCACATTTGAACCATAAAATTCAGTTCAACAGCAGTAACACAAAATAATTTTAAAATGAGCATATCTTTAGAATATCCGGATACACAGTCTAGCACTCTGGAGATAAAATGCTCCCCCCCCCAGTACAGTGTTGCCATTGTTCACTTTGAAATCATCTAGTTTGTTAATCAAAAATTCGTTATAAAATCAGTCACATAATTCTCACTGTTTGGTTCACTGAACAAAAATTTACCGACACCTTTGTATCAGTTCAGTATATGTCCTCGAAGAGCGGCAGTTGCTATGCTGATCTTCTTTAATTCTGCAACTGGATAAAATAAAAAGTGAGTCTCTAAATGTTCCAGAAAGGTCACTACAGAACTTCGGCCATCGAAAATACTTGCTGGTTTCATTGACCCTCGCATCGTATCTGCCATGAACCGGAATCCTTTCAATAGATATCTTGGTGCCGGCTGCAATCTTCCGAAGGGGAGGTCGACTAAATGCTAATTTTTTTTTCTTTTCTTTTCTTTTCTTTTTTTTTTTTTTGTAATGTGATCCTTAACTTGTTCGGGTGCCACCTTTAAAGTTCGCTTTATTTGGTAATGCTATTTAGTCCAGTTGGACGCTGCGGCGCACAATGAACTGGAAATGGATTTGACAGCACTATCATTATCTTCAGGGCAGATGTTTTCATTTTATTCGGCTAATAATTTTCTTAACTAATGTAATTCCTTACTATTCAATGTGTATATTTCATCGTTCATTTGATGTACTCCGTCTTTGATATGATTTAAATCAAATTCCTCGTCATTGTAAATATCACGAATACACATAAAATAGTTTTCTGGTTGCAATTTTCTAATTTCGACTATGTGTAATGTATGCTTTACGCATGCGTGCATTGAAAGAAATGTTTAATAAAGTAAACAAATAAATATTAAGCTTTTTTTTTTGTTTGTTTGTAAATTTTGATACCCTTTAGATCATAATTGCTTTTTATTTCATAAATTATGGTTTCATATTTTTAATTTAATAATTTCTGCATGCCATCGTACCAGATTTCAGGAAATTGTTGATTAAAGTCAGCCATTAAATTGCATGATTTTGTTTGGAATTATTCTGCAAAATGTTCCTTCTTTTGCTTGATAAATTACTGTCTTAGGTGTATGCATCATTAATGTCAATTTTTATTGAATATTATACTTGATTATCTCAGATATATGTAAGTATGTATAGTTATATATTTACTTATATATATATAATTTAAAGTTAAGTTGTAAGAACAAACGAAAAAAGACCAATTTTGGTCAAAATTTTGCGCATTGTGCTGCAAAATTAAGGAAATTAGAAGATAAATTTTAGTACGCATGCCAAAAAGTTACCAAAAACTGTGGCTCCGTGAAAACTTCAACATAAGCATATTTAGTTGCTATAAAATGTGTGAAAGAGGAGAAAAATACAATATTTGTATATTTACAAGTAAAATTAATAAAAAGTTCGCTTTTTAAGCGAATAAAGCGAATAAAGTTATATGCTAAATGAATTAAACAATTTTTAACACAGTAAAAAAACAAATCAATTGAATGAGGTAAAATAAAAAGAGTAAGTTATATGCTAAATGAATAAAGTAGATTTTAAAACACAGTAAAATACTAATCAATTGATCAAGGTAAAATATAAAAAAATATTAAAATTAAGAAGTGGTAAATGGTTAATTAGCCCAATTCGAAGTTCATTTTGGCTTGTCAAGGGAAATTTTTAACATGAATTTCAAACCAAGCTAACTCCATTACGCGTTTCGCCGAAACAGACAATTTAAACTTTGCACGCAAAATTTTTTAATGAATTAAATAAACTATGTCAAAAACCTTAGTCTCAATTCTCTGTTCCATATGTGTGTATTTATATATGTATATATATATATATATGTGTGTGTGTGTGTATGAATAATAGGTAGTGGACCAAAGGAAAGAAGGAAGTTACAGTTAGCTCCTAGAACAAAGCCTATTGAACCTGTACCACCGCCATCTGAGGCTATTGGATCTAGTTCAATATTTGGTGGAGCTAAACCTGTTGATACAGCTGCAAGGGAACGTGAAATAGAAGAAAGATTAGCCAGGGAGAAAGGAAGCATACTTAGAGATTCCAAGGAGAGGTTGGTTTCAATTCTTAGTGATTAAAATTGAAAATATTGCATTTTAACAGGGTATAAATTTGTTTAACTTATATTCCAATCCTGTTGTGCTTTACTGTTCTTTCCCCATCTTTTGAAGAGTTCACAAGCTTCAAGTTCTTGTATGGGGGGGAAAGCTAGATATTTCAGATATTTATTTTCCTAATTTCATACCGAATTGATGCAAATATCAGATTTTCATATCTTTCTGATATCATTATTCAATTACTGAGACATCTGGGTGCAGGTCTTTTTAATAATTGCAAAGTAAATGACTTAGTGCTAAATATAGACTATCAGAACTAATAAATCAGAACTGTTGTGCTAAATATAGACACCATATGAAAATTGTCAGTTAAATGGGAATAGCCATATTGTGTAATTTTTAAGTACTGTAACATTTTAATTAGAAGCTAAGAAAGGAAATCCTTTATAAGTTAGCCAGGGTACTTTTTGATTTTTTGCACCAACTCATTGGTGACTTTGTTCAACTAACAAAATATGTTCATTTGATTCTTGCTACAACAGCTCATAGATACTGTTTCAATTAAGATAAAATTACACACCTAACAACTATTAATTTAGAAGTTAAACAACAAAAATCATCATTATATTTGCAAATTTTCACAGTGAAAATTTGCAAATATAATGCTGATTTTTGTTGTGAAAATTTGCAAATATAATGCTGATTTTTGTTGTTCGACTTCTAAATTAATAGATACAGTTTTGTTCGTTGATAATAATAAAAAGAAGCATTTTATAAGGAATAAAAATTTTTTGGTACTTTCTGATTATCTATCCCTTCTCTTGGAAAATTTTTGAACTAGTTGGAGACTTTGGAGAGCACTTGCAAACTTGTTATGATTAGTTTTTTTTTGTTATTCTACTATGTGAAAGGCAACAGCCATTTTCAAAATGGTAACGCACTAGGAATTCCATGCGAGACCAATCAGTAAATTTAAAAAAAAAAAAAATAGTATCAGTAATAAAAAATGCCTTTTTGTGCCGTTCTCCCCATGTACACGACAATCTGTTTTTGCTTAAAAAAATAAAGGGGTTTAATACTAGGCCCGGCTCCGTACAGTACTTGCATTGTGCACCAGTCGAAACAGATGCGCTACTTTTATGTTTGGAGTTGCCATATAAATACTTTTTGGGCATATGTGACCCCAAAATTTAATAATTATTTTGGGAATATATTGCTTTGCCTCATGAATATGTTTTCATGATTTATTGGTGGTTGTGAAAAAGGGGTGTATGGAAAGAATATACCAAAGTTTTTTGGGAAAACATTAAGGTCTATATACTATTTACATTTTTATAGCCAGCTATTCATCGAAATAGGTGCTAAATATAAAGCATATAAATCCATGTATATTAAATGCTTATGTGATACACGCATGGATGCGTTGGCTATTGTATCAAAACTTCAAAATATGCAATAATTCTCCATAATATTGAAACTAAGGGTTTTGGATAGTAAAAAAGTACTGTAACTAGGCCTGCATATTTTGCACTATTTTTGATGGAGACTGAGCTAGCTTTTAAATTAGACAATAGGAATTTAAATAAATGTTAGCATAAAAGTTGCTTTGGTTTTCTTAAAAATTAATATACAGTGCAGTCCAGTAGCATCCTGGTATGTGCTGCCATGATGCATATCTTCCTGCACTTGCACAGCTTGCCCAAAAATATGGAAGAAAACTTTTTAGTATAGTTTAGATATGCTTAGAAGAAAATTTTCTTGATTTTGGTAATTGCTTTTGTGTTATAGAAGGCTCAGCTGTCATCATATTCCATAATCTGAATTTTACTGTCAGTTTCAAGATATATTAGGAATGACAGGTATTGATTATGCATAATTATTGCTTATTAATTATCTTCAGTTCTCATTTATAACTTAAAGTACTGTCACAGATAGAAAGAATGTTATTCCTAATTACCACGCTGTAAATTTTGTGGATCAGTGGTCTTGATGTTAATAATTTGAATGGATTTAGTTTGTTTTATTTTTTAAGCTTTTGCTATGATTTCTCATAGGTAATATTTCTCATATATGTGTGTCTTGATAACATATATAACATACTTGATAATCAGTTTTTTAAACACTTTGAAAGAAACCCCTTTAAGTTATTTTTGACTTAGATTATTTTGTGTCCTGACAGCAGAGAAAGTATTCCCATTTGAGGGAAATATTCGGTACAAGCTTCTTGTGCAAGCAATCTTGTATAATAAATGCTTTGCCGTTTCTTAAGTAATTTTTTTCTTTATTAAATAAGCGTATAATTCTTCATATGACAGTAATTTTTAATGAAATTATATTATAGCAATTGTTGTCTACTGTTTGGCATTGCCATTTTGAATAGTTCTGAATTTTAATAATTTTGAATCAGTCATTTTAATAGTTAATAATTTTGAATAGTTTTGAGAGACTAATTCTTAAAAGTAGTAGACATATTGTAATTGATATGATTGATTAAATTTGATTGTTTCAGAAATCAACTCTTTATTACTTGCACAAATTCACACAGCAAACTTCCCATGCAGTGTATTTTTACACCATATATTTTTTTTAATTTTTGAGAAAATAAATTAATGTTTTGTAAGATTAAATCAAATACAACTACAATGTAATATAATGTTATAAGAAGTTCTTAATATAGTTATACATGTCAATATTTTCAAACAATATAAATTTATAACTACTAATTTTATCGTTTATAAATTTTACACAGTGGAAAGGAAATAAAAGAAGCAAAAAGCAATGAAAACATCTTTTGAAATAATAACTTTAATTCCATATTAATAAATACATACCCATTTACAACTAAATTATTTATTCCATATTAGTTTCTCCACCATTTCACAAAGAGCAGCTTTTGCACATGACAGCTTTTGTGGAGTGCTCTTTGCAAACAAGTATTTTGCAGGCCCATCACTTCATAGTAGTAACCATGTTGTTTTATACCTAATACAGAAAACCTGAAGTTTTTTTGGCTGTTGGCTATGTTATACTTCAATACATGCTGTACAAAGCCTATTTTAAAATTAAAGTGCCCTGTGAATAAGTCATAGTAGAATACCCTGTAAAGGTATGTGTCTGGGAAGACACAGGGGTGAATATAAGTATATTCAGTATGTTTATTTAGTTCTGTTTAACTGTAACTCTTGCAATTTATGCTTTCCTCCCAAAAAAGTGGTTTCCCCCCCACATTATGAGCTATTATGGTAATAGCAGTATATGTGTAGTGTTAACTTTTTTTTTTTTTTTTTTTTTTGAAGAGGAGATGACATAAGATCACGCAAATTTAGCTCTGGGTCTGGAATTAGTAATCGTTCAAGGCGTTCCTCAGATTCTGGTCCTCCTAGTTCCTTGAGAGATGAGGAAGACTCAGTTCCACAATATAAACCACCAATACCAAGACAAGTAAATTATTCAAATATTTTACAGATAATGTAATCTCTAATTTTTTTTTTTTTTTTTTTTTTTGTTTTGCTTTTTATATTAAAAATAAGTTAGAAATTTCTGTTTCATATGTTTATTAAAAATTTATTATAATTTAATTTCAAAATATATTTTATAGCTGGAACGAGAAAGTCAGCAATATAATACTCTACCAAGGACACGGCAGAGATGCAGTAGTAACAGTAGTACTGGAAGTGAAAGAGAAAATCAAGTTAATTCCAAAGTCAATAATGCTTCAACAAATAGGAAAGGTAACTTTCATGCGAAGTTGCATATACTCTTTTTCATTTATTTGTAAGCTGTTTGGAAAATTATTTATGAGGAATAACAGATTGTGCTCGAAAGTGACAGAGTATTGCCTATTTTATTTAAAATGAGGCAAAACAGAAATAATCAAAATTTAAAAGGAAAAGTTGCGAGTAAAGTAATAGGAAATAAGGAAAAGTAGAAGTAAGTCTGAAGCTTTTAAGTGTTACGGAATACTTGGCAGTGTTTTTGTTACAAATTCCAATAGTCATATGTATAATGAATATAAATTATAGATCTGCCCCTCTCTTTTATTTTGTATCATTCTAGTTCCTTCTTAAAATAAGCATAATTTAAATTACGTTTATATATTGTACTTTTTTATTAAATGTAATAATAAAGATTAGTAATCTGTTAATTTTCTTTTAAATTACAAAAAAGGAAATTATTCATTATTGATTTGAAGATTTTTAAGCACTGGAGTTTTTTATTTGAATATTACAATTCTTACTATATTTTAAAGCAAGAAATGTGCGAAAAGGGTCTGCTACTGCAGTATTTCCAAAATTTTCATAAACTAATTAATCATACATTTCTTTTAGCTATAAAAATTATCGAACTTATATCTAATAAAGTACTGCTTTATAAGCATAAATTTTGATATTTAGCATCAAAGCATTAGCCAGCATCTCACTAAAGTTATGTAATAAATGCAAATAAGTTTTAAATTAATACAGAAATACAGTCAAAAGTCGTTAATTCGGACACCCATAATCCGGAATGATCTATAATCCGGACCTCAAAGCTAAAATCTTTCTGCGCATGCGCTGCGTTGACGCACGCGCATAGGCATTTTACGTGCGCGCGCAAGACACGACTGCGCATATGCGTTTGCGCAAGGGCAGAATGTTGGCAGTGGTGATAAAGGCAAAGCATATTTTGCTTTCCTTAAATAAAGCTAAGACTAAACTAAATAAAATTCATGCTTTATTCCATAAATAAAAATAAAAGAGCTAACACTGTAGCCTTTACATTTAAAATCATTTGATTGAAAGCAAACTAGCATAATGCTAACTCATAATCACACAAGAGAACAAGAACATTCGCTGATACCGGCGTACATATATATTATACTCGGTTCATAGTTCAATTCTATTATACGAAAACACTTATTGTCTTTAAACACTGAAAACATCTAAACAAAACTTTCTTAAATTAACAGCAGTCGCTGCTTTTGTAAATAAGTCGGCAGTATTTAATTTACTGGTGATAAATTCAAGGTCAAACACTCCATCATTTACTAGTCTTCTAACAAAGTGATATTTTACGTCTATGTGCTTAGTTCGGCGATTTTCTATTGGCGATCTAGAGAAATCAATGGCAGACTTGTTATCACAAAATAGTTTACACTCTCTTAAATTAAACTTTTAAACTTTAAAATTTCATCTTGTAAGACATTTTTCGCCCACATTAATTCCTTCGCAGCTTCAGATAAGGTGATATACTCCGCTTCCATGGTTGATACACTTCCACATTTTTTGTTTAACAGTTTTCCAGATTACCGGTACTTCATCTAAATATAATATAAATCCTCCCATGGACACGTGGTCATCTCTATTACTTGCATAATCAGCATCTGAATAACAATATAAATTTAGATGTTTAATCTTCGATAAGTTTAACTTATATAATTTAGTACTATTGAGATAACCAAGCAATTTCAACAATGCTTCCCAATGCCTAATTCCAGGATTCTCCTGAAATTGTGATAAGATATTCACTGCATATGTAATATCAGGCCTTGTCCTGTTAGCTACAAAAACTAAACATCCTAACAGATTTCTAAAGGGTAATGTATGCATTTCCGCAATTTCTGCACTTGTAGATGGACAATCTAATTTTGTAAGAATAGTGCCCTTAGCTATGGGAAGTGAAGTTATTGGTATCTGGAAATGTTTAAATTTTTCAAAAATTTCTTCGATATATTTTTGCTGATGTATAAAAACCCCATTCTCATTCTCTAAGAATTCAATTCCAAGTAACGTTTTAGTTTTGCCTAATACTTTAAGATCAAAAAACTTACTCAGCTGTGAAATTACTTTATCTATACTATATTGATCTTTACTAAAAATCACAATATCATCTACATATAACAAGAGAATTACATTTGAACCCTTATAAACACAATTACACCATTGTATTTTCTTAAAATGTAGATTTTCTAAAGTACTTTCAAATTCACAAAACCATTCACGGCCGCTTTGATGTAGACCGTAAATGGCCTTGTGTAATAAACACACTTTATTTTTCTCTTCGATAAATCCCTCTGGTTGGGTCATATATATTTTCTCATTTAGGTTTGCATATAAATATGCGTTCTTTACATCTAACTGACAATTAGTCCATCCATATAAACATACCAGTATAGTGAAAAATATTCTTATGATTGAAAAATTTACTACAGGACTGTAAACGTCATCAAAATCTTCACCTCTTTTCTGCCTGAATCCCTGTGCTACTAAGCGTGCTTTGTATCTAACCACTTGATTCTTTTCATTTCTTTTTAGCGTATAGACCCATTTTTTCCTATTATAGTTTTATTTTCTGGCTTTTCGACTAATTCCCAAACCTTTCTTTTCTTTATTGTGTCGATTTCTTCTTTCATTGCCTTATCCCATTCTTCGGCATTTACTGATTTTCGTGCTTCTTTAAAATTTTTGTGGGAATAACTATTTCTACGGAATTTGCCTCTTCAGACACAGAGCTAGTCTCCTGTTCTACGAAATTAACTTTCCCCGAGTATTCGTTTTTTCCACTAAAATCGAACTTATCTTTTTCATATTTAATATTTCTTGCCTCACAATACTTTTCAATATCATTATAGGATCTAAAACGGGTGTCTGTTCCCTCTACATAATAATATATGTCTGTACGTGTTCCATCTGGCCTTTTAACTGCTTTTCTTTGCCAGTTTAAGTCTGATACTTCTTTCGGAGTAGATTTGTCATCTGACAACTTTATTTCTTCTCTAGAAATTTCCTGTTCTTCATCTGATTCTGCTAATAGCTCAGATTCCTCTAGTCTTTTAAATTTAGGTTTTGATTTCTGTTCCAGGATGCCATTTGCTGCATACAGTTTTTCATCGAACTTCACATTACAGGTTTCTATTAATTTGCGTTCTTCTGGCAGCCATATCCTATAACCCCTAGTTTCCTTCGCATATCCTACCATGATTCCTTCTTTGCACCTCATTTGTAATTTATTTCCTAATCTGTTTTGGCACGCCAACATAGGCTTTACAACCAAATACTTTAAAATAAACAACACTGGGTTTTCTATTTAGGAACATTTCATAAGGGGTTCGGTTGCTTTTATGACATACTCTGTTCCACGTATGTACGAAACAGCCAAGAGCTTCTGCCCACCATTCTTTTCCCATTTTACCATCATTAAGCATAGCTTTAACTGCGTCTAATGCCGTTCGGTTAAAACGTTCACACACACCGTTCTCTTCTGGGGTGTACGCGTTTGTGCGTTCAACACTAATTCCATTTTCGGCTAAGTACCCTTCGAATTGCCTGTTACAGAATTCCCCACCATTATCGGTGCGTATACTTATTAATTTTCTATTCGTCAGTCTTTCCATTTGCCTATGATAATTCTTAAAGTTGTAGAACGATTCGTTTTTATTTTTCATACAATACACTGTTACTAATCTACTATAGTCATCTACAATAGCAAGAAAATATTTACTCCCACCCTTAGATGGAACTGGTAGTGGGCCACAAACGTCTAAATAAACCAACTGCAATGGTTTATCCGATCTCTTCGGAACAGATTTAAAAGTTATTCTACTAGATTTAGCAATAATACACGATTTACACCTCTCTATTGGTTTTTCAATTTCTGGTAACCCTTTCACGCTTTGATTCTTACTAGTTTTCTTAATATAATCAAAATTTACGTGGCTAAATCTCCGATGCCATAGCATTGCATCGTCTACTTTATTTAACTTTCCAATTTCTGTACCGTAACCAGCTTCCCTTTTACCTGTTGCATATCTAAATGGTTTTACGTGATAAAGTCCGTCATATCGTTTAGCGTAGCATAATCTATCCCAATTATTAAAGTATATCCACATCTTCCCTTTTGAAATCACAAAATGAGCACCAGCCTTTTCTAACCTTGCTCCCGATAATAAATTTCTTCTTAGATTTGGATTATATAACACATTATCTAACTCAATCCAATTTATTCGATTGCCTACTTTTACTGCAAATTTGACAGTACCCTTTCCTAGTACTTTACTTTCACAATTTCCTACAGCTAAAGACATACGTATATCGTTTATTTCTTCGAAATTTGTCATTAAATTTCTATTATTACAGAAATGAGTTGTAGCTGCAGTATCTACGACCCAATTAAATTTATCTGCATTACCTCCTTTATCTGTAGTTGTTACATAATTTTCTACTAACATTAATTCTTTATCTTTAAACTGTCCATTTTTATGGACATTTTTATATTTTTATCGTCTATTTTAAACTTCTGATTTTTACTTACATTTTCTTTACATTGAGCAATTAAGTGCCCAAATTTATGACATCTGAAACAAGGTCCTATTCTCATATTCCCCATTTTTTCTTAGATTTAGTTTTATTTTCAACTTTATCTTTCCCTGCATTTAAACTAATAGTATTAAACACGCTTACCTTGCTGTCTTCTAAATCGGCGTTTACCTGGCGAAGTCGGCTTTCTTCCCTTACCAGCTCTTCAGCAATTCTTTCCAGCGTAAAATCTTCGTCCTTCCACCTATAGATCAACTGTACAATGCCGGAGTATTCCTGGGGTAATCTCCTTATTGCCTGGAATCCTTTAAAAAGATCTGCCAAGTTGTGACCAGCTTCAGCCAACTTCTTTGCAGTCATTCTTATCCTTGCGATGAATAATCCTATTTCTTCATTTGGCGTATATCTAATACTAAAAAATTCATCCAGTAACTGAATTATCCTTGCTCTTGTTTTGGGTTCGAATTGCTTCTGTAGAACTTCCCACGCTTCTTTACCACTTGAACATTCTTGTATCAGCGGCCTGAACTCAGCTTTAATTCCGTAATATAATGTAGTGAAGGCTCTGTTCTCTCTCAGTGTGAACTCCTGCTTTTCACGCCTTGTTGCACTTTTATCTAATTCTTCTTCTTTGTCCTCTATGAAGCTCCAACAATTTCTATCCAGTAACAGCATTTTCATGTCGACTTTCCATCGATCCCAGTTGTCATGGTTTAACAACTCAAAACCTTCAGGTAGTAATGACATCTTCAATTAAGTGTGAGCACAACGACTTGAACAAACTTCTAAGACAGGTCAGCTTCTTTTCGTGGATAACGGCCCTCTTCACCTACATTCCTTCAATGCTGAGTTGAACTGGATGACTGATTAGCTGTTGGCGCTGGGCCCATAACCCTGTTGGCAGTGGTGATAAAGGCAAAGCATATTTTGCTTCCCTTAAATAAAGCTAAGACTAAACTAAATAAAATTCATGCTTTATTCCGTAAATAAAATAAAAGAGCTAACACTGTAGCCTTTACATTTAAAATCATTTGATTGAAAGCAAACTAGCATTAATGCTAACTCATAATCACACAAGAGAACAAGAACATTTGCCGATACCGGCGTACATATATATTATACTCGGCTAACCCGCCGATCTTGACGTCATCAGCCAATCAGCGGCAACCACGTTAGCTTACCGCCGATCGACCTCCAATCAAAATTTGCATGTGGAAAACTAAAGCCAACACATTAATGTATAACGTCGCTTGATTGGATCCGGCTTATTATTTTTTGCAGACTGTAAGAGCAATTTTATAAAAGTAAGCTTGAACTTTCGATTATGTCAAATAGAATTTCCGATGCTGGAGCTCTCAAAGGATCTAGAAAACGAAAGTATGTTTCGATGTCCATCAAACAAAAAACGAATTGCTACATAAAAAGGATAAAGCCATATCCTTTGTTTATCTAACCGTTCCGAAATCTGTTTATCAATTTCACGCTGCTCTGTGGGGGGGGGAGACGTTGTGGTGCGCAATGAACTGGAAGTTGATCTGTCAGCACTATCGTTATCTTCAGGGCAGATGTTTTTATTTTATTCGGCTTATAATTCCTTACTAAATGTAGTATTTAATATTGATGTACTCCATCTTTGATATGATTTAAATCAAATTCCTCGTCATTATAAATATCACGAATACAAATCAAATAGTTTTCTGGTTGCAATTTTCTAATTTCGGCTATGCGTAAAGTATGCTTTACACATGCACGTGTTGAAAGAAATGTTTAATAAAGTAAACAAATAAATATTAAGCTTCTTTTTTTGTAAATTTTGATACCCTTTAGATCATAATTGATCATTATTTTATAAATTACGGTTTCATATTTTTAATTTTATAATTTCTGCATGCCATCTTACCAGATTTAAACTGATGATCTATAATACGGAATCGCCGAAGTCCCGACGAGTCCGGATTAAAGACTTTTGACTGTATTTGAAATTAAAAGTTAATCTCAAGTAAATTAATTTTTGTATATTTTGATTGCAGTGAGTACCCACTTCTTGACTCAATAAGAGGTCAAAAATAAAATAGAGAAATTTTAAACTATCATTATACCATTATTGCTGTTTTCATGCATGTGCTAGTATGAATATCTCTTACTTAGATTGGCACTTCATGTGCATTATGTATTCTAAAATCTCTGGATGCAGCTTATGCTTAGTGTGATAATAATAATAATAATAATAATAATAAAAAGCTGTGCATAACAGTTATTTTTTAACATTTTAAATTCATAATGTCATCATAAAAGAATTCGTCAAGAATCATAGAATTTACTTAAATGTTATTGACGTTCTTGTAAATGAATAAGAGTGCCAAGAAATGGAAATCTTGGTGCAGCAAGTTTTTTACATCAGTTTCACTAAATATTTGACTGTGCTATTATCATTATCCAATACAACTTCTTCATCAGAAATTATATGAAAATCTGAAGAGTTTCTTATTTACTTAGTAATTTTTTACATGCGTAAAGGTCAGAATTTATAAAACTTTTTAAACTTATTAAACAGAATGCAAATCTCTAGTTATTGCATTTAATAATAAATTATTCAGTTAAACTTTTCTGAATGAAATATCCAACACCCAAAAGAAATCCTGTTTTGCACAATCTAAAATGCGAAAGAGGACTTGAGAAATTTCTTTTTAGAATTATGTAATGTCATCTGTCAAAAAGCAAGCTTGAATTAATGCATAATAATTAGAAACAGAAGGTCTAGAAATGAGATCCTACATTGCATCATGTCGTCTTCTTCCTAGGGGAAAAGTGAATTTCTATGTAATGTCTGATGAAAATTTTTTCTATGCTGTACAATCATATAAAGATAGTATATCTTCCTAATTATTCCATAAATTTTAAAATATTTCAAAGAATTTTGCTTGTTGCATTTGAAGTTGCAGAAAAAAATTTTAAAGTTTCAGTAAACAGTATTCTTAAAGATAAACATATGAAAATCAGAATATCTCTTTGTGGATTTTATGAGAGATTTATTTAATTTTTATTTTTTTTAATATATCAGCTAATAAAATCCTTTTTTAAAAATATTTCTTTCCCTGTTGTAAATAATACTTCTCCATTTAAGTAACATTTTCCTTAATGTAAAGGGGAAAAAAGATAAAGATTTGATCTTATAGTGTTATATTTGCTAACTTTTTAAGACATGGTAAAATATGTGGTTTTCATTAGATTATCTAATCTTTTCTCTGTTGAATATATTCCTATGACAAGATGCTGCTGGCTGAATAAATTCTGAAATTATCAAGTGTTATCTTTATTAATCCATCATTGATGACTTCAGTTTGTAAGTGCAGTTATCAGTAATGCATAATAATTTTAACATACATTGCTAATTAATATGTTGTTGTAATGTTCAGTTTTTAGTTAATATCTGTCATTTATATATTGTGTTGAATCCTTAAATGTAAGGGTTCAGCAATCCAAAAATTCATTTTATTGGATATATCTGTATGCTTTCAGTAGTGAATGGTTTAATGTAATATATGTAAACATTTTTGTGATCATTTCTGTACATTAATATTAAAATTTTTTCATGACTAGACAACTGTAGTTTGTCTTTTTTCCTAGAAAACTACAACAGTAATTATTATGCAAGGAGCGAAAATTCAGAAAATGCTGCACCTCGACCACATAATAATGATAGCTCGTACCCTGAACCTACAAAAGGCGGTTTTAGAAGTGCAAAACATAATTCACATCGTGATAACTCCAGGGACAGAGCATTGCATGGAGTAACATATGAAGAGCCTAAGCCACCTGTATGTATAAATTTTTTTATCTTCATATTTTATTAGATAAAAAAGTATTAAATTTTTGTAAATGATAGGGATCAATTAGTAAGTTTCAGGCCCTTTTAATCCCTTGCACATGGTTTGATAAATGTGCTTTTATGTGATGACTTTTCTTCTAGCACAAGAAGAATAAACCATAAGATACAAAAACAATTTTTTTTTAAAAAAATGTAACACTAAGAAAAACAAAGTTTATTGATTTGAGAAATTGTGAAGTATATCATTAAGATACATATTAAAAACATTTTTCATATGCTCTAAAATGCTAACAAATCAAAAACTTATGTTGTAACTTGTTCATGAAAATATAGAGTATGAATTACAAAACTACTGAGTAAAACTTATCAAAAAATGTAAAATGTGGTATTATTTACTTCAACAAGAAATGCTTTGGGTTTTGAAAGTTTTTTCTTTTGAGTTTCTGTCTTAGACTTGCTTATCTTCTTTTTCAAGCTATAGTACACTCTGCAGAGACTAAGCAAATGTTTCTTATTCCTTCTTTAGAATGGAGTTAAAGTGTAAGATAGTTCATATAAGAGACTTTCATTCACTTTGGAAATCATAAATTAAATGACATATTCTAACCAGAAAGCATTATTAGTAAATTACATTATCAGTTTTAATGTTTTTGAATAAAATATTAACATAATTTTTTCTGTAATATTATTATAAAATGTGCATCAGTTTAAGCATCAGCAGCATTATATTTAAGTGATCTGGAATCATTAATTTAAAATGGAAAGAAGATTAATTGTAAATATGTTACCTTTTAAGGATGTGAAGAAGTAACTAAATAATAATAAAAAAATAGAGCAGCTGTTATTATCTGAAGTGAAAGGTGTTGTATTCAGGGTTCGTACAGTCCTTAAGAGTTCTTAAATTTTTTTGAATCGATTTTTGGTCCTTAAAAGTCCTTAATTTTGGCCAAAATCAGTAGAAGGTCCTTAATTTTAATCATCTGAAATTTCTGTCTGTTTTTACGACTGCCATTTTGAGTGTGAATTAACATTTTGGAGGAGTATTTTTGGCTATTCACTGACGTATATGGTTATCTTTTGAATGGGTTCATGGGTATTAATTTGGTTTATTTCTAATATAAATGATGAAATACTCGAGTTTCTAAGCAAGAAGTGAAACATTAAGCATTTCAAAATTCATTTTTTGTAATAAAGAGCTCTTAAACAACTTTCACTTTTGGAAATGTGAATTCTTTTATTAAACGGTTCTAAATCTGGCAATTTGTCAACATTTTGTTGATTTTAAGATCAATTTCTATAGAAAATTTTTAATTCTGAAATCTGAGAATTTTTTGACGATTTTTTTAAAACATCATAAATTTCATTAAAATATAATATATTGTAATTATATTTAAAAATAACATTAAAATAAAACATTTTTATTTTTTGCTGTCATATTATAAAGTTTCATTTTGGCAATTTATTATACAATATTTTGAATCTGAAAAATAAACAAGATGTAATGCTTTAAACCGTAATTTACAAAAAAAAACAAAATTAATTATGTAATTAATTAAAAATATCTTGTTTTTAATTTTTTCATAGTAAGCGTATTTCCCATGTAATTGTCTCAGAATATTCAAAATTCTCAGAATATGCATCAGTTTTCTCTATAAAATTAATTTTACACTTTTCCTCTCCTTCCCCCCCCCCCCCCAATATTTCTGGCCTTTTGGTGTTACAGAATTGGTTGGGATAAATTTTCTGTAGTATTTTTGACATTGCAGCTTGGAAAATTAAAAAAGATTTGAAGGCAAGATTTATACCCACGGTTCTAGAAGATTCTATAAATATGTGACAAAATAAAAAATGTCTCCATGGTATCAATGCGTAATGGATGTATTTTACAGAAAGTTTGCGATGAATTTCTTACTTTTTGAAGAACGTTTGGAAGAACAATGAAGACATAATATTTTAATGTTTTACTCCTGGTACTAGAATCTTTTTCTTAACATGTTTATCTTCCCTGTATTTTATCTTCTTTTCACTAGACATATAAGAGAGAATTCACTTTGGAAATCGTGGAAAGTATCAAAAATGCTTCTAATCTTATCACTTTGGCTGGCATTTAAAAAAGGTTTTTTTTTTATTAATAAAGAAATTGAAAACTTACAATTTAAAAGATCCTTCTAATATGTCTTAATGCATCATACACAGACCTGGCACTAGGCATTTTCCCATCTGATGCAATCTCTGCGGATCCTAAATTCGACTGCATAGTGCCTTTCTAAATTCTGCTTCCAATGCCTGCTCTAAATTCTAAAAGTTTTGCTATTTCTAGATTTTGTTGTTTGGTGTGTCACTAAATTCTAAAAATTCTGCCACACCAACTCTGTAACTGGCCTTTACAATATATATTTCATATTTCTTCTGAAATCCATATTACTAAAGAAATTAAATTAATCACTTTTTCTATACATTCTAAATGCATTTAGTGTTTTTTTAGAAAAACAGAAATCCTTAATTAAATCCAAAAACTCTAAAATGAAAAGGAAACATGCTGAAGAAAGAAACTGAATACATAAAGAAAATTATTCTTCAAAGATATGTGCAGTTATTATTATGGAAATTACCCAATTGTTTATGATTTCAGCCTTTACTATAATTTTCCATTTCTGTTTCCTCATATGATAGAGTTACTGAGCCAGATTAAATTAAAATTAAATTGTATAATCTTTGACCTCTAGTCCACATTTTTAGTTTGAATCTGACTGTTCTTGTTTAATTACCTCACCGTGAGATGTAAGTGACTTTGTTAGCATCAGAACATGACTTTATGTTTGTTCTTTTTTTTAAATAAGAGGCTTATTTAAACCTTTGTCTGATGTTGTAGTTACTTTTAGACATAGTGATAATTTGCTTCATATCTGTTGGAGGTTTTGGACTATTTAACTTTTACCAGATCAAGTAAACCCTCATAGGTATATTGTGGATAGGTTGACAAGTTAGGAGATAAAGTAGGCAGAAACTAGAAAGAGCATTGGTTTGTATATTGAGACAAATCTCTAATTGTTGTTAGAAAAGATGCTTAAAGAAAAGGAAATCGGTATAAACTAGCCAAAATGTTCGGAAAGGCTTCAAATTAAAATGACGGATAAATATTTTGTTGAGTGTTGTTGTTATAAAACATTAATGTTTTGTAGCATTTAATGTGCAATTATTCTAATATCCTTTAAGAATCAGTGTCATAAATTACATATATTTTAAACTGTGAAATTTTATTATATTTTGATTTTAATAGGGCTTTTTTAACAAATATTGTTAAAAAATAAAATTTAATAGTGGTAATATAAATTCATAATGACTAAGGTTACCTATTTACCTAATTTAATTATTTATAACTAACCACTTACATCTCTACATATCAAAGTGAGTTATTGCCTTTCATTAATACTCACTGCACAAGATAAAACACAAAAATGTAGAAATTCAAGTAAAACTTATTCTTTGCATGTAGTGAGACTTAAAGTAATACAAAATAACTTATCACCTCTGGTGCTTTAGTGGCTTATTGGAACCTGAAAGTATATTTATTAACTGAGTTACAACCCCTGGAACCTACACAAAGCTATGACACTAACTGCATCAAACAGAGCCTGGCTAACTTTCAGCACTTGCCAACCATGCCTATATCGGGCCTTTCAGGTTTGTTCTAATCAGTAGATCTCTCTCTAGACAAGCAGCAGTGGTAATAACATTGTCTTTTGTTATGAATCATGCCGATTATGATCTTGCTTCTCATTTTAACCTATGCCGTTTGGCATAAAAACTACCTGCTGTATACTAAACCTCTAGACTAGTGGTTCTCAGCCTTTTGACTAACGTGTACTATCTAAGCAAAAATTGAAAACCTTTAGTACCACCACTACAAAGTACTGCTACCACCACCACTCTTGAACAAAGATCAGGTCGCATAAATTTATGAGTGTGAGAGAAAAAACTCGATCAGGATGTTGGGTTTTAATTTTCGATATAAATATTTCAAAATACTTTGCTTGTTTGTGTACCACCTATTTTTTTCTTGCATACCACCGGTTGAGAACCTCTGCTTTAGACTGACCAAGTATGTGACAAATGAGACATAAAAAAAATCAACATATAGCTAAACTATTAGTAAAACGTAAATGTCTCATATCTTCTTTCAAATATGTCCAACCCATTATAAGTGTAAAATATTTAATGCTACTTGATAAACTGCATGGAGTTTATTTTATTCTCAAATTTATTAATAATTATGTTTATTAATTCATGTTTAGAATAATGCATACTACTTAGGGATTTATTTTATTTTTAGGATGGTATTACAAAAGTGAAATTCAGGCATAGAATAATATTTTTAATTGAATTTATTCATTTCCCATTTGGTCGTAGGTCCTTATTTTTTTTCATTAATGGTCCTTAAAAGTACTTAATTTCTGTGTGCAGAAATGTGTACAAACCCTGTGTTTTCTACATACCTGCATTTAGAAAATTATTTATACTGATTCTTTTAGAATCACCCCCTTCCCAGATGTATCGCACCTACTCTTCTTAGAACTTGTTCTTTTGATATAATTTTGGATTTGTTGAGCTCTTGATCTGCAAAAATTCTACAAGTGTTTATTGTGATGGAAGTATCTGCTTTGTGATGAGGATCTGAAGCATAACAACTGCTTTTTGTTGTTTTTACAAAATTATAGCTATGCTTTGTATTAAAATAAGCATATCTATAAACAATAGATATATTTGATTGATAACATAAAAATCTTCAATACTGATAGCAGTAAAATTTTCAGTGACTGCTAAAGTGAAACAGTTGATAAGGTAAAGGGCCCTATTGTTACACCATGATGATTAAGGATTTTATTATACATTTTCTGACATGTTTTTCTGTAAACTATGCCAGATCTGGTGCCTTTTTAGCAGTAAATCACTTCCGGGGGCGGACCCCATCATTATCTTGCACTCGTGATTGCTCCTTCTATTTGAATTTCATCTGTGATATACTGTGTCCATTTGGTATCAGAATTTTGAATTTGAGTTCTTCTGTTAAATGTACTTATTCTAATCTATTCATAAAAGCATTTCGATTGTATGGTACAAATATACAAAATATAAATTTTTTATGAGTCCACCATGGGGGGGAGGCATTTAAAATGTTTTCTGTGGTCAGTTTAATCACAAAAAGAGCATTTATCACTTCAGATCAGAATCATCATTAAATAAAATTTTAGGGTCTGTACTAAAAAACACAATCACAAAAAATAGTAGTACATGTTAAGTTTTTATATGCGTATTTTCAATGCTTTAAAGAAAAGATTAATTTGAAATGATGGCAAAAATACTGAAATTCAAAATTTTTATTTAATGGAATTCACAGTTTTTGATAAATTGATATTTCTTGTTTCTTTTCATTAGATAAAACTGATTTGTGTTACATATTTTTGACAGTATTTTTTTCAAAGCTTTTTTCCCCCCATATTACAGACTTTTCCCCTTTAAACTATAATCAAGTAAAGAAAAACTGACTTATTCTACTAATTATCTTTGACTGATTTAATCTGTCTTTGTAGAGGGACTGAAAAAATTAAAATATAAAAGTTTTTTTTACTTAAGGGTTGTTACACATAACTAAAAGTATCATAGTTTCAAAAATCTTGCTTTTTTTAATTTCATGTGTTGGAATCAACTCTTGATAAGCAACCATTCAAGATATTGCAGTCTTGTTAGATTGTGTTGTTGTATTAAATAATGATATAATTGATTATTCATGGTAATTTGTCATATCCATTTAAAAACTCTAGATATAAGCTAAACTTTTAATTGTAAATTATTTTATTTAAATATGCTATAAAAGTTAACGGATTTTATGATTTAGTTTGAAACTTCATACTTGTTGATAGTGTGATTTTTATGTAAAGAGTACAATCTTGTTAAATCCTCTGTATCAAAATAATGCAGTCATGTTAAATCCTCTGTATCATAAATTGTAGTCATGTGATAAATCAATGTTATTTCGTGTAATTTTCTAAATTCTTGAATTAGCTTACATTTTTACTTAAATTTTATTGTGATAGATGCTTTTGTTTAGCAGTACTGTGCTCAAATGCTATTACATTTTGAAATAAATTATTATTATTGCAATTATATACTATTTTTGCTTATTTCTTTAGTTCCTCAAGATTGTATAATTTATCTAATCATTTGCTAATGTCATATTTTGTATTTCAGGTTTATACTTCTGCAAACAAATTTTCACACTTGAATGATGTTGAAGATCTTGATCGAGGTAGCAACTCTGAATAAAAGTTTTGAACTATTAAAAGAAAAGGAGCTCTTCTAATAAAATTTGGAAAGTTTTAAAAGGCCTTAGAACATGCAGGACATTTTGTGTGTCCATCTTGTCCATATATATATATATATATTTTTTTTTTTTTGTTTGCTTGTTTGTGACAGTTTTGAACAAAGTGTTTGCTACAAACAGAATTTTCTGTGAGCACATCTGTAAACCATATTGCAAACCATTTAATTTAAATGTATGACATATTAAAATCAGTTTTATTTACTTAGACACAGAAAATGATGATATAATTAATTTTTCATGGATGTATATTCTCTCATATGTAATATATGTCCATTTAAAAACTTCAGATATAAGCTAAACCTTTAATTGTAAATGATTTTATTTGAATATGCTATAAAAGTTTACAGATTTATGATTTAATTTGAAACTTCATATTTGTGAATAACATGATTTTTTATTCTGAATAACTCTTTTATAAGCAATATTAATCATTATACTGATATTTTTTATGCTTTGTTGTTCTTATGAAACAAGTTGGAATTTACAAATGTGAGTACTTTTATGTGCATTTTAAATTGCGGTGATAAATAATAATTACCTGAATCTTCAAATTTCCTAACTTAAATGCTTTTAATAATATTTAGAAAATTCCAAAATTATTTTCCGAGTTTAAGTAACTGTTACTCACAAAGTGTGATCTTATTAAAAGTCAAACTATAAGTCAGTTTTTTAAACCATTTTTAGTCTTTCAAATATATTGTTTTGGTGGCAAAGTAAATTGTAATTTTATTTAAACTAAACATTATTTAATTAAAAATTTTTTGAATGCAAAAGACTTCCAAAATTCAGTTAAAGTTGCAATTTTGTTTAGGGAATGTATTTAGAAAAAACATTTGAAGCAAACAATGCATGCAGTATGTTTTTCTTAGGTAAAAAACAGAGCTCTTATTTGGATTTAAAAAGAATAATTTTTTGCTATTTATATCAGTGTTATAGCACAGGATGGGTCTGGAAGTTCTCATTGGGAATTTCTACTGCACACTCAATTTGTCTCATTAAATTAATATTTCTATCTTATTAATTAATATAAATGCAGTTTAGGATATGACTTATATTATTTAGAAGCCTGCATTGCACTCTTATGCTCCATAAATTTCTGCAAATTTTGGACTAATGACAAAAATTTTCATGTATTGTTTTTGCATAATTGTTGTGAATTATGACCTGCAGTGAACTTTTATAATTCATTCAGTGTAAAGCAGATTATTATTTAATTTGTTTTGGGTTAATAATCATGTATTGGTGTTAGTTTTATATACTCTTGGCCCATGTACCCCTTTTATTATAAAATAGTTAAATTACTATATTTTGACGCTTTCTTCTTTTTTTTCGTCGCTGCTAATTTCTTGTGGAAATTGCAATGATATTTTCCCAGCAGTTGGTATATCTCTGCATCTCAATATCTGATTGTGGGTGTTGATATTTATGTCAAAAATATCTTGATGAAATTCTTAGTTTTAGTAAAATGTGAATTCTCTTTTGATTAATTTATATTTGCTGCCAATTACTATATTTCAGTATGCATTTCATGAATTTGAATGAAACATAAACTGTAGAAGCATGTGAGGTGCAATTTTTTTGAAAAAGCACATCATTTAGTAATGTCCATTTTTACACTTAGGTGCTACTGTCATCAATTATCAATCTCTTCCTTTTCCATATTTGTGAATACTTGTATAAAAAGGCTCTGTTCAAATTGTCACCTACTCATCTTGAACTGGCAACTTGTGCTTCGTCACTGTTTGATTAAAGACTGTTAAATTAGAATAGCAGTTTTAAATAACCAGATAAAATGGTTCATAAATAATAATATGTAAATGTGATTGGCTTGTAGAAATGATGTTAATTTATCATAGTTTGACAATGTATATAATACCTATAGAAATTTTATGAATGGGTATTTTTGTGATATTTTCTAGTTTATTTTAAACTTTATGTGCTTGAATTATTTTTTTCAGCATTAAAAAAAAAAGATTGCTTGTCATTCAACAATTAATTTGTGAAATCTGAAAAGGAGATGAATGTTTCTGTGGAGAAAAAGGAGGAAAATCATTTCTCTTTTATAATTGTTCTTTTAAGGCAACCAGTACAAAGTAGAATTTTTCCTGATTGACAACAGAATCTCTGCTTGTATATTTAATAATTGTAATCAAAATATTCACTTTTAATTTAGCTGTGTGGCTGGCCCACAGTTGCCGGATAATATGTAAATATTTCTATTGCCTTCTACGTGTTTCTAGTGCACGCATTTTACACAAAATTGTTCATATGCGCTAAATTTAGTTAATTGGAAGTAATGTTTTAGGTATGATTTATGAACATTTTAGCATTGTAGTTATGTGTGTTAATGTATGTTATAGGGATATGCATGGGTCAAAATTCTCTGTTCCAAGAGTGTTGTTTAAATATTTATCATGTACATTAAAGGACAGAGCTAGTTTGCTTTTTGCTCTGTGTCACACATTGTGTGGCAAATGTAAAAAGGTACAGCCAACTGAATCAGCAGTTATGCTGATTCAAGTTGAAGTATGAATTTGTTTCTTAGCCAATCATAACAGATATGGTGTAAATTGAATAAAATTACAGGTATTCATATTATTTTGTTGTCCTTTCTTTGAGAAGTTTTATAACAAATAATTGTTTAATGTGGAAGTATTTTTTTAATTTTGATGGATAAATTATTAATGAAAAAGCTTGTAGTAAATGTCTGCCTATATGATTATTTAACTGTGTAAATTCCTCAGCGTATATTTTCATGTATAGTTTCAGAAGAATTTGGTGGCTAATCATGTTTGCTATAAGTAAGGTAGGTAGATGGAAATTCAAAATAAATTAAATGGTTGAATACAAATTGTATATGATAAAACAAGACTCATTAATTTTTATGATTTCACATTAATGAGAAATCTTGTGTTTATTGCATTTGTTGGCTATAGTAAATTAAATTTCTTTTTATTAATATACATTATAAACATTAAACTGTAAAACTGGAACATAAGTATTTTGCTGCAGTAAATTTATCATTTATCTTTATCCCAATTATCTAATAGTTGTAAGAATATATTTAAAATGCTGTGAAAATGGGTTATTTTACCAGGAATTAGAAGTGTGGTTAAAAAAAGTGTTAAATAAGTCCAATGTAATTTAGTTTTTATAGAATTGTTTGCCAATTAGAACTGTAACTTTTTCAAAATCCATTTTAAGCCAGCTGGGTATTTATTACCAGAATTAAAACTTGTAACAGTTCTGTATTATGTAATTTAAAACAGAGTTTCTCCTATGTATATAATTTTCCTTAATAGACAGTTTTTAATAAAAAAATAACAAACAACCTGGTTTGAAGTTATGCACATTGCTGCAGTGTTTAATATAAATTTATATTTTAAATGCATAAAATAGTAATTAATTTTCTTACTAACCCTTTTGATACCCCCCCCCCTCCAAAATAAAAATACAATGAAGAATTAATAAGCACCTTTGATGGACACACTTTTTTTATTTAGTAAGCTATAAGTCAAGTGTATTTGTTTGAAGTTCTTGTGCTCGTAATAAATTCAGGTTTTTAAAAGTGCTTATTAACTAATCATAGGCTATGGAATTTTTTAGAAGAAACCAGTAGATTTTTTTCTTTTTTTTTTTTTTTTCTGTACCAGTACATGTCCATAGGCAAAGAACATAGATATTGTTTAATGAATGTAGCCATTCATAGGATTAAAAGAATTAATAAAATTCATAGATTTCACAATTCAATTAAACTTAAGTTTGACTACTAATTTTTTTTAGATTAAGACTATGAAATTTGATTTATTAAGGTAGGGGTACAACTTAAAGAATGAAATTACTTTAAATTTTATTCCATACAATGAATGACTTGAAAATCAGAGTGCAATAAAAAATTATTATAACACTTTGACTAACTAGAAATAAAATTATTTTACAGATTTCTAGATAATAATAAATAATTTGAAGTATTTGTATTTTATTTTCCTTATGATTTCACAATAAGTTGATATTATGCTTTTGTTAGCAATTTCTGTTATAAATAAAAATGCAACATGCAGGTTATTCAAATCTATTCACACACCTATTACAGTTTGATGAATTCAAATTAGACAAAACAATTTTTTTTTTCATATTGGCAGTGTGCCAATAGTTTGAATGCATTACATTTTTCAAAATTCAGAGCTTAAGTAATGGAAATTGTTTTCCAAATAAAATATTCTTTTAAATGTGACTACTGTAAATTCTTTTAAGGGAAAAGTAGGATGAATGGGATCAATCTTTCTATCTCCTAATCCTTGCTGTATGGTTTAGAAACTTCTGATTTATGGCCCATTAATTCATGCACAGATAGAAAAGTATATTGTGTAACTTAATATTACTGAAATTAGCTTAAACTAACTAAGTATAGAAAATGGTAATACTAGAGTTTGATTATGATGAAGCACAGTGGGGCTCTTTGTGTAAGGGGATATCTTTGTGGCAGACTTTGATAAAAGCTTTCTCATATTCATGCAGTGATCTTAGTACATGTATTCATATGTACCTTGCTTTCCATTTTGTTTTTGTGTTGGAAGTGATGTGTACCACATAATTTTCAAGTTTTCATTATTAAAAATTAATAATTTAATTAAATAATTAAAGTTATTTAAAAAAGGGGGGAAGTGATTAAATATATTAACAGGGATGACAACAATCCATATATACCCAGAATTATGGATTTTTGTTGCTTTCTGAAATCTGAAAATACCAGATTTGTGAAATGTTGACTCTGTAATAAAACTTCTGTTTTAGAACAAATATATCATTCAGAGATGACATAAATTTAAAATTTTTAGATTGGATAAAGTTCAGTAAGAAGTCAAACTTCTTATCTGAGCAAACTAAATTAATCTTATCTATTATAAAGTAATTTATAATATATTAATTCTAAAGTTATTTTTGCAGTTTGTCTTGAAAAAGTAGGAAAAGTTGATACTGTAATGTTTTGGACTGAAGTTTTCAGACTAAAAGAAGATGCCAAATATTGAGAAAAACTGATTAAATCTTTTTTTCTTTTAACTTCCTTTTTTGCACCTGCTGTGAAATGTTCATTTAATTATATGAATGAATTATGTCAGAATGAAGAACTTCCTTGAATAGCAATATCTTAGATGCTGTACAGATTAAAATGTTATTTCTTCAAACTCTCAAAACTAGATATGAAGTTTTTGGATCTCTTGATTGCACGTAAAATTTTTAGGGATAATTTATTGCATAACTGGACAGTACCAAACTCCATATTTAATGAATCATGCTCTTTTTTTTTTTGTAACAGTTCCTTATCTAATACTTATGGGAAAAGGCATTGTCTACATCAAGATATCTTGCTCATTATACTGAATGTTCAATTGTTCTCAAAGAAAAATATTACAAACGCTGCAGTTCCCAGGAAGTACACTCCTTCCCCCTTCCCCCAAAAGCAAGCTTAACTTAGTAGTTATTTTTTTAAATTATTGAGAAACCAAGTAGAGAGCAACTGTTTGAAGTGATGTTGAAAAGTTAATGCTTAATAAATACACCCCTATCCCTTGATTTACACGGAAGATAGGTTCCGTACAAAACCATGTAAATTGAAATCTTGCATTTTGCTGTGTAAAATGAAAAATGCACTAAATGTGTATAATTTAGTTTTTTTATTTACATAAAACAAAAGCAACACATCTTAAAATAAAGTTATACGTCATACATAAAATAACAAATATATGTAGGTAATAGACATACATATTTAATTTATTTTACATTAGGAAAATATAAGATCATTAAAAAAATATAAGTTTAATCACTTTCATGAACTATTAATCTTTTTTTCTTTGGTATGATGTCACTTTCAGCATTCTTGATAAGCTTCTGCTTCAATGGTTGACGAATTAGGGAAGATCTCAGATCGACAAGACTTAGTTAAGACAATATTAACAATTGCCTAGGTTTTTTTTTCCCTAAATCTTTGTAAACCTCCTCACATTGATTTAAGCACTTATTAAGCTTCCGTTGGAATCAGGAAGCTCATACAACATTCATGTCGCTTTGTGAAAAATGATTACTTAATCTTCCGAATTCAAGTCCTATGCTTATGACTCTTGTTGTGAGTGCAACTGGTTCAGATTGCTCTTCATCAGAATCATTGTCTTCATCATTATTTGTTTCATGAATCATGTTAACTAACTCATCTTCATTTAGTTCTTAATCCACCATTATTTCTTCAATATCTGCCTGAGCTCAAAACCTTCTCCACTGGTTTGGACCAATATAGTGATCCGAGAATATTCGTGCTCTAATGATAATCTATCATTCTCATTTTTAGCAGCATCCGGCCATATTGCTTTCCAGCATGCATTGAGCGTTGATTGTGTAATCAGAGTAAAATTTCTTGCAAGCATTCGTAAGAGTAAGAGCGGCCGAGCGGTAAAGTCGCTGAACACTGTTAGTTCGGTCCGAGGTTCAAATCCTGCGAACGGGCTGGCTGCATGGGTGTTTTCGTGGTTTTCCCCGTGTGTAATGTGTATACGAACTAGTTTCCCTTAGAAAGTCCTCCATGAAGGCATCCCTCCCATTAGGCAGATAGCCCTCGAGGCTTTGGCATAATCACACATACATAAGAGTAAGAGATTCACGATTCTCCATTTTCTCTAGAATATATGCCAAAAAATAAAATAAAAATGCAACAAAAATATAAATGTTGAAAACTTATCAGTAAACATTCAATTCAAATATGCAGATAAAAATGATGTAAGCTTTGCTGCTAAAATACTGATACTGCACTAGTTCATGTGAACCAAATAGCTTTACTGTTGTGAAATACATATACATACTATAGTGATTCCCCATCCTTGCTGTTGCTACCAGTGTTATCAAAGGAATAAGATTAAAAAATGACTTCAAAGATATGTATATGCAGCCAAATATACATTTTTACCAAGTTTTGATATCTGTTAATTTTTAAACTGTGTAAAACAAAAATTGTGTAAAATCGAGGAATAGGTATAATAATAAACTTATACTGTTATTACTTGTTAGCTGTTTCTAACAAGGCGACATTTGTATGATTAAATAGGTTTCTTTTGACAATCCAAGAATACAAAAATCTTCTCATACGTAATTTAATTATTATTTTTTTTAAAGTTTAAAGGTTTCACGGGAAGTCGACTTTTTTAAGAATGGGATAAATCTCTGTCACAAGGATATTGCATGTAATACAATTCTTCCATCTAGTAATTGAGATGAAGGCATTACAGCCCAGGTAATTGAGAAAGTGACATTCTGAAAGTTAATTGTAGGTGATTTTGGTATGAAGCATTTTTGTGAATCAGAGAAAGTTGCTTTATTATTTCTGGGTGATGATGTATTTCAAATTACTTCTGAAAAAAATCAATATACATTATCCATCATTAAAAGTGAAAGGAATCACATTTTACAAGAATCTAAAGTAATTTTCACACTATTTATAATGAAGGTCATATAAGAACAACTACACTTGCAGAATATTATTTAATGCATCCTTTAACGGCATAATTATTTATTTCAGAAACAATGGTCAAGAATGATTTTTCTCAAATAGTGACTATTTTTTTGTTTGCTTATGAGGAATGCATTGACTATTCCAGATGATTATCAAGGTGCAAAATATAATTGCATATTCTATACTCACATGCTTGTGAAAATTTACAGTACAATAAAGGAATCTTTAGACTTAGAAAATCATGCTACATATTATTAACCAGTATAAAAGTCAAATTGGCAGAAAAAACCACTTTCATCACACCACATCCATACCTTGTAGCCACGTTTGATCGGTTTCTTTGGCATGTATTGTTTCAACGAACTACGACCTTTAAATTTGATCATAAACTCATCTACAGCTTGATTTTGGTGTGGATGCAATGCATTTAAAAACTTTTCAGCCAAATTTGACAAAATTAGACACTCTTTATATAGTTTATCAAATTCTGGGGCTCCTCTCTTAGGTTGAAAAGTATTGTCATTACGGTGAAGATGGGATAAAATCACGCAACTCGTTTTACGGACTTTTGTTTAGAAAGGTAAGCATCATATATTCCTAGTGCAGAAGACCGATAATCCCTGTAACTAGGGGTCCTCTTTATCCCTGTCAATAAAATTACTCCTAAGAATTTTAACAGTACAGATGAATTTAAACCGTTTAAAGGTTTTCCCTTTTGCGTTGCATATAAATTTGTCTGGAAAACTAAATTTTCCATCAACGCCATGTCAAATAAAAAGAGAGTGTAATAGGGGATTTATCTTCCATGAACAAAAAAGCTTCATTCGATGATCCTGTCCTTTCTGAAAATTCCGGATTTACTATCATTTTTTTTTTTTTTTTTTTTTTTTTGTTTGTTTTTTCCAACCTATTTCTAATGCGTGAGAAGGGCATATTGTCAGAACGACTTTGATTCCATCTGAGTCTGACTAAGACATTCACCTCTTTATTTTGTGCTGAATGTTCATCTGAAGTATCAGATATGGCAATATCAGATCCATCAGAAGGAAGCTCTTTAAATAGAGTAAGTGCTTCTTCCACAGAAAGTTCTTTTAGGCATTTTCTTATAAAACTTCACAGTTCTAAAAAACTCAAATATTTGCCCCTTCCAAAGATAAATGTTTTGCATCTAAAACTGGCCATTAGAAATATTTTCCCTTTTCATCAACTGTGAAGACTTATTTAAAAAACCAGCTACTTGCATCTTAACCGCACGGAAAAAATTTCTCGTGTTTCCTAGTCTCTTATCTGAAATAAACAAAGATGATACCCCTAAAGCAGGGCTTCTTAAACATTTTTCAGTCGCGACCCCTTTTTATCACTGAGATTTGTTTCAAGACCCCTGCAACCCATAATATTTATGAAAATTTTGTGGGACCACATAAGCATTGTGCAAATCCAACATACGTGGGAGTGAAACCGTCAATTTTTTCACTTGTACTTTAATATACTAATGCAGTTTTAGGTCATTAACTCTAATTTCTAATTTTAAGACATAGAACAATGTGAACATTTTAAATAAGTAACAGACAAAATGACAGCGTCATGTGCAAAGAAAGTAAAATGAACAGTTATAGTATAAAAAGAATGCATAGAAACATTTTCATTTTTTCTTAGTCTGTATTGTCTTATCTTTATCTATTTTCAGATACATTGTGTAAAAATATTTGGTTATTGAAAAATTATTATAGTAAGTTAAAAAAATATCAAACTGCTAAAATTTTGGCCAGACCCCCTGTTGCAGGTCCCATGACCCCTGACCCACAGTTTAAGAAACTCTGCCCTAAAGCATAAAAGCAGTTTTTTTCATTCCACAAAAAGAGGGACCTAAAATGCATTTCTATTTCCAATGTTTGTAAGTGACCTTTCCTTTTGTGTGATCTTATCACAGCACCTTTGTGGAGATACATGACAAATTAACTGTCAATCACCTCTTATCATTTTTGGAGAACATGAAGCAATGGGTGTCTTTTAGGGCTAACATGCCATATTTAACACCCCTAAAACTGTAAAATGTATTGATGCCAGATGACAATTTTGAAATTAATGAATGTTTCTCTGGGGAAAGGGTGAAATTAAAATTTTAGCTAAACAGAGATGTTTGAGAAACTGGACCGGAATAAACAAAGAACAGAAAGAAACTAAAATACTTTTATTCATTCTTAGCATAGGGTTGGTAGCATTCCCATCCCCCTCATGAACATAATACTGAATTCTAAACAGCTTGTAAATTAACCATAAACAAATTATTACATCATAAACAATTATAATATAAAGGAATTCTGTCATCTCACAGAGTACAGAAGGAGAAGCCTGGTGCTGCTATCTATTGGCATAGTACCCTCAGTATGGGCACCAGTATATTTTGTATACCGGTCTTAAAATTGTAGAAATAATCTTTAAATTATCAGTTCTGACTGAAATGCAATAGATAAGTTTCAGCACACATTTGCAGATTTTGAATTTTTTCTTCTCCAATAGAATTTATGAATCTTCAAACACGATAGATACCTTGGAAGGAGGTATATTAATTTCATAACTGCAAAATATTGAGCATTCATAGGGTAGTGCTGCCATTTAGAATTAATAGGAAACAGAAATTTATGATTACAGCTTCTGGTGTAGAAAAATTAGCATTTATTAGGAGGTTAAAAATTTGAGAAACATCCAGTATATTTTATATACCAGTGTATATAAAGGTTAATGTATAAAAGAATTCACACAATTTGAAAAGTATCAAATAATAATAAAACAAGATATTTAGCTATTTTTTTTAAATATATGTAATTAATAAATATAAAAGTGTATTTAGAAGAAACACTTTCAGATGCTATACAAATTTCACAACCCCCCCCTTATAGAGATGTAATAACTTTTTTTCTTTATAAATTTCACATCCTGAACAATATGCATTTTATTTTCTAAAATAGACTCTTTAGAAATTACAGCAACATTTATTTTACATTTTAACACCCAAAATAGTAATGTTTTGCTTGTATTTTGAGAATCTGACATAACTATTATAGCTTTTATACCATGTCCAGCTCCACTTATAAAATGCATGACCCATGAATTTGTATTTTTAACCTAAATTAAAATCACTAATGTAAATGGACTGGAGTATGCTACCCTACAAAGGGTCACTTTGTGAGCTAACTTTTCATATTTTAATGGTGTTTTTTTTGTGCTTTGTCCCTTTGCATGGGAAGGATTATTGTACGTATGTCCCCTGATAAAAATGACTTTCATTAATTATATCAAATGTGCATATTTTCACAAATATTGCCATGTTACTATTACATTGCCAGACGCTAAACAGTATCTCCTTACATAGTCAGACTGTAATACATAAACACACATCTCTTCTTCTGTTACACCAAAATTAAAACCAACAAAATATGCGTAGAACAATACTATTAAAAACTACATTACAAAAGAAAATGCACATTAATTTATAACCTGCAGACAACTTTATTTAGCAAGTAATAGTTTGCATGTATTTATTTCTTATTATCATAAAGCTATCATGTAAAAAATTAAATTAAAAAATCATGTAAAAAATTAAATTAAAATCTAAACTTTTATTATTCTTTGATAATGTCATTCTTGATAAAAAGTTTGGAATGAGTATGTATTTTTTTTTCAATTTAATGACTTTAGAATTGGAAGTTTTTCTGCATCAACAATTCCTGTGTAAATAAAATATTTTTGATAAATATCTCACTTTTCCACTTTATTTCTTTAAGAAGTAACATAAATTAAAAAGCAGAACAGGTAGAAGCAACATTTAAAACAAGAAAACTGTTTGAACTTTGTAAACACAGTATTAATTAAAAACTAGCAAGCATTACTTTAATAACAAGCATGCTTTTAGAATTATTTCATGTATTTAAAACTTAAAAAAAAAAAAAAAACAAGAATATTAGCAAATGGAAAGCTTGATATTGTTGATGATGAGGAAATTAGAATAAAAACAAACATTTCTTTTCATGATGGTTCTTGCAAATGGAATTCGTAAAGATATATAAGTTCCTGAGTAATACTTTCACCAACAGAAGATGCTTAGTACTAGGCACTCTCAGGTTTATAGGCAAAAATAAATTATTACAAAAAGTAAAAAATAATATTTTATAAAAAAATCACTTTTCTTTTATTTTTGGAGGTTCAAGGCCTAATTTACCACATAATTCATTTCGAATTGGGCGCAACTCATCAAGAGGTTTATTCCAGTCTGTATCACTCAATATCTCAGAAACTTCATCCATAACATCATCTGCTAAAATATCATAAGTAATGAAGGCCTCATACAATTTATTAGCAGTTACTTTTCGAACTCTTGGGAAGCGATGACACAGAAAAATTACCAACTTGTTAAGAGACTGCTTTTGGCATGATTCTGAAAACTGAAGTAAATTACAGAATAAGTCTACAGCAGCAATGACTTTTTGTAAGTCTCTAGACTTATGAGAACATTCCCAAACCAAGTTTGACAGTTGGTCATGGAAAGGAATTTTTCCTCTTTCTGTGGGAAATTCTATGCCAGAGAGCAGCAGATGATTCACCATCTTGAGGAAAGGCACAACAATTCGGTCATTTTTTATATTGTCTTTTAAAATGGAAATTAATTCATCACAGATGCGCTGTAGGAATTCACTGTTAGACTGATGTGAAGTCAAGTATGTGACAAGAGCTGAACTTGAATATTTAACCTGAAAGGAGAAAAATGATACAATATTTAACTAAAAATATAAGAGTTTCCAGTTTAACATATTTTTCAAATCACAAATTAAAAAAAGTTCTACATAGTTATATCACACAAAACTGTTGAATTTCTATCCTACACATCTTGAACAACCATGATACATAGAAGTTTTCAAATACAGTTGCATTCTAATAATTTGCACCTGCTTAATATGCGAATACCTGCAATCCACGTTAAATTTTGATCGTAATCAAACAAAATTTCAAATTAAAAACAATTAGCATAATAAATTTTATTGCAATTTGTTCTTGGATAAAATGAACTTTTTAATAAAAATATACTAAATTTATGACATATTTTGACTGAAGAAGCAAATTTATTTCATTATTGAAATTATTTAGTATTTTTTGCAACCGCATCAGTACTTCATATAATTAATAAGGATCACGAATCTCAACTAATATTTTGCTTTATATAAATCTCTACTCTTTGGTGCATATCCCATTTCCTTTTAATATTAATTTCGAATTTATGTGTTAATCTCAAAATTATGTGGCATGCATGTATCAATAATTTATTTTTTCTGCAACGTTCATATGTTACATTCAGATTTAAATACACATTGTAGCCAATTTGTTTACATTTACGTTGCTTGTGAACAGAAATAAATTCTTGAAAATAACACTTTTAGACTTTCTGACAGTCAAAATAAAAAATATGGTTAAAAGGGAAGAGGGGGGGAAGGCTAAATAACAAAGACATTTTCTTTTAATAAATCAACTTATTTTTTGATTCAACTTCAAATTCTAACTTATTTTTTGTATTAGTAATTGAATTGTGCATCTGGGAACATAATGGCTGAATTAGCACAGGATGTAAACTGATGGAAGTTCTGACTGTTGGGAATTTTGTAAATAGGGTAGGTACATGTTCATTTTTTCTCTTGTTCAAGAGCAGAAAAGTTACTTTGAAAATAACTTCAATGGTGTATATAAATTTTTTTAATATAAAATTCTTTGATATGTTTTTACAAGAGTTTTTATTTTAACAAAACGCCTTCTGTCTTGTGCATTTTTCTAGTGTACTGATATTACTTCCTTTGCTGATTTTTAAGTACCCTATTAAATGAATCTTGATTAAATTATTCTTAAGGTATGAGTATGTTTTAATTAGTTATTTATGTGCAAACAATCTAGATCTAATGTAAAAACATAGTGAGAAGAATGTAAGCAAAACTCGGAAACACAAACTCATAATGTGTATGTATTATTGGAATTCACTGTATTTAAATTCTAAAATGTATGATTATGAAGTTTTGGAAGAGAGAGGAATTCAAAGATGATAGTTAAACTATAATTATTACATAAGGGGACTAGATAAAATAAATTTCACTTAGAATAAACATAAAAAATGGATGAAAGACTTCGCTTACATTAAAGCATTGCTGTTTTTTTTTTTTTTTTTTTTTTTTGTTTGGCATATTTCTTTATTGCCAAGTGTCACCAGTTTGGTTTGATTTCTTTCATTAATGTTATTTTTTTTTTTTTAGTTTTGTGCATTTTATTTAATTATTTATGGAGCAGAAAAAGAGGATTACCTCTTACAGAAAGTTTAAAAACACATTTTAAAAAATTTCCTTAAATTGTTTTTAGGCCTGATCTTAAGAAATATCTAAAAAATAAAAATTCAAAATTACTGTTTTTTTATATTATTTATTTTTGTTTTGTTTCCTCCCCTATTTTTTTATGAGTGTTTCAGGGATAAAATTAAGTAAAATAAAAAAAAAAAAAAAATTACAAACAAAATTTAGTCAAGACAGTAGAAAACTTGGAAAAAAGTAACATTTTGGAGAAAAACATGGTGTAGTAAAAAGAAATAAAATAAAATATGCCAATATGGCACTGAAAATGCATGGTACGATTTTAACAAGAAAAATAAATAGCATTAAACGAATGATATGTTTATTCAAGGCAACAAAATATTTTCAAAAATGACCAAATTTGAAACGGATTATATAATGAGATGTTACAAATAATCTCTAGAACTTTTTAACTTTAGAAGATTTCATTATCAAGATTAAAGTATGGATGAATATTCAAAGGTGACTGATTTCATCACTGTTGAACACTTGTCTTGTCTAGTCTTACATGAAACAGCAATTAAAAAAATGCCAGAAAGATGGCATTTTAATCATACTCTTTTTAAATATTATTTTATTTTACAGAATTGTTTTAAATTTTAGCATTAATCTACGCACAGAAATGTCCAAGAAATGAAAATTCGCATCATCAAAAGTTTAAAAAAAATATTCTTTTTAATACAGCAAATAATACATAAGTTGCTTTCACCATGGAACACAGAATTAATTAGATCATGCTAAATTTTGAAAGACAAATTGACCATCAAAAATCAGATCTATCTGAAGTGCAGGTACTGGGGCTTGCATAGAATTTAGAAGAGGATTCCCTGTCTGTCACATACAGAGAAACAAAGACAAAAGAAGAATTCATTAGTGCTTCTATCAGCACATTGAATTTTCGACCCGATCGGAGTCACTTGTCCTATTACTTTAATTTCCAAATTACTGTTACAGGAATGCTGAAAAAACAGCTTGTAGATCTAAAAAACATCAAAATTCTTTCGAAGGCTCTCAAGCTCGAGCCTCGACCTTAAAAATGCCAACCTATCATTACAAATTTTTTGTGATGCCTCTAAATTGGCCTATGCTACTTGTGTCTTTCTTCGAACTGAAAAGGATGATGAAGTAATGTGTCATTTGATTCAAGCAAGATTGAAAGTCTCACTGTTAAAGGGAACTTCAATTCCAAGGTTAGAGTTACTAGCTTGCACAATTGATGTAAGGTTGGCTATGTCAATAAAGAAAGATTTGCGCATGGAAGATGTAACATCAGGTTTTTGGACAGACTCGATGGATGTTTCTTACTGGATAAAAAAGGAAGGCCTATGGGCAGTTTTTGTAGCCAATAGAGTGGAAGAAATAAGAACACTATCTTCTAATGAAAGTTGGAGATATGTACCAGGTATACTGAACTCTGCTGATCTCCCTTCATGAGGATATTCTGTGAGAACTCTTATCAAAGAAAGTTGATGGAAAGGACCTTCTTGGCTCATAAAAAAAAAAGAAGAATGGCCAAAATTGGAACACATTCCAAATATGGAGGTAGTTCATTCAGAAAAGAAAAAAACTATTGTAACGGTAGTTTCGGTGCAATGCAAAGAAAAGTATTACTATCGTTATTCATCCTACGTTAGCCTTGTAAGAATTACAGTGTGGACAACTAGATTTATAACGAACATGAAGAAAATAAAAGATCACAGAACAACAGGGAATTTGAAGACTGATGAAATCAAAAGGGCTGAACGCACTTTGCTGAAGCACGTACAGAAGAATGTGTTCAGTAATGAGACAGTTACAAATAATTAATGGATGGCATTTTGAGACTAAAAACAATATGTTTCAGAGAATATCATGAGGTATTCTGTTTGCCTATTATACTTCCATCCAGTTATAAAAGCTCTCATTATTTATAAGCATGAAAGTTTAGGACATGCCGGAGTCCAAATGCTTATGAGCCCTCTTAGAGAGAATTATTGGATTCTGAAAACTAGAAAAACTATTAAAGAAGTAATCAGGTCTTGTATTATCTGCAATAGGTTTAAGACAAAACCAGTAACTAGAAGAAGACTTACTTCAAGATCATGTACGAGATGCCGCAATTTTCGAAATTATAGGAGTGGATCTTGCAGATTCTCTTTTTCTCAAAGGAGGAAAAACAGCTTGGATTTTGATCCTGACTTGTGAAGTATACCATGCAGTACTTCTTGAACTGTTAACCTCAATCTCAAGGAAAATTTTATTCTTGGTTTGAGGAGATTTATAGCATGCCAGAAAAGACCAGCTGTCATTTATTCAGACAATGGTTCTAATTTCAAAGGCACTTCTAGGCTCTTAGAGAAAGTGGATTTAGAGAAATTGAAGAACAAAGAGGGGCTAAATCCAATCATATAGAAATTCATACCTCCTAATGACCCCTGGTGGGGAGGCTTCTGGGAGAGGCTGATTGGACTGATGAAGAGAATTTTAAGGAAAACTGTAGGCAAAACATCTTTAAATCATGAAGAAATGAATACTGTTCTATGCGATTGTGAAAGCTTTATTAACTCAAGACCGCTGACTTATATTTTGGAAGATCCCAAAGATTTGGAACCTCTGACTTCTGCAATGTTCTTACAAGACATTAAAAAAATCGGCGTACTTGAGTTTGAGAGTATTGAGGCAAATAAGTTAAAAACAAAATTTGCATATCGTGTTAGAGTGAAAAGGGATTTAAGAAAGTGTTTTAGAACTGAGTATCTAGGGCAACTGAGAGAAGCACAAAAGGTAAAAAAGAGAAAGTACCTTAACATGTTGATTGCCATGGGAGTTACCGGTGACTGACGACACGACCAATAGTAAAATACATAATTAGAGTAAATATCGATAGCGATAGATTTTTAAATAGTACCATTGTTACTATAATGGTTTGAAGAATAATAAATCTTAAAAATTTAAATTATAAATCACAATAATGGACTACAGCGCCTTGGGGGTCACTGGTGAGCCCCCACCATGAAAAATGCATAAAGCATGATTATATAAATCACATTATCTTCTGTAGATAATATTTCAACATAATATGCTTTGCATAATAAAAATTTTAAGTTGGCATCCACGTAAACCACGTGGGCAAGGGCAAACCACGTAAAATGTGCACGGCAGTCAACGTGTTAAATGAAGGAGAAATAGTTTTGTTAGGAAATGATCATACCAAAAGACTGAACTTGGCAAATAGTGAAACGCTATCCTGGAAAGGACCATCGGGTTTGAATAGTCTTGTAAAAACAGCATATGGTTGCTTTTTACATCCTGTGCAAAAATTGTTACCTTTGGAATTGCAGGAAACGGAAAAAAAATATCTTTATGCCTTACTAACTTTCCTTCGTTTTCAGATTCTTATGGAATACACTCTGTACCCACTAATTTAGACCCAGGTACAAAAGGACGCCAAAAGGAGGGACACACTTCATGCCAATCCTGTTCCAATGATGGAGCTGTGTTGGAGAGGAGAACTGAGGCCTTCAGAATATCAACTCATGATCCAACTCCTACTCGACCATCGGAGCCTCAGTGTTCACGTTATGGCAGACTAATAAAACCAGTGGAAGTGAATACCTAACAGTTGTTTGAGTTTTACCAAGAAGTTGTTTAAAACTCAAAGTGGGAGAGTGTCAAAAACGGCCTATAAAGAAAAACTATAAAATAAATTAATAAACAGACAATTATGTTTTCACTAGATGGCACGTGATGAAATGTTATGACTTTATTTTTTGTTATTAATTTTTGGCTATGAGAATGCACAGTTTTGAACAGAAGAGATGCAAGATGTCAGATGTAATTTCGTTTTACTGTGTTACTGTAATCTTAAATATTGAATTATTTAAAATGAAAAGTTTTTTTTTTTTTTTTTTTTTTCTTGAGATGTAGATTTCATGAATAGATCTTCAAAATTATCTTTAGGTAAGCTCACCTGGAATCGAATTTTTAGAAGGAAGAAAGGTAAGTGAAACCTTTTTCCTTAATTTTAGAACTTAGAATTTGAAAACTTAAGAATTAAGAAATTAAAAGTTTTAAAGTTTTCTAAAGCAGCAAAATATTAAACATATGTTAATGACAAGTGTAGTAAACAACATCTGACAATTTCACATGGTATACATAATAACAATTTCACATGGTATACATTTGTATGGTCAACACGAATAAAACTGAGAAACTAGCAATTGGGAAAAGCAAGCTCAAAAGTTATTTCCCATTTGATTACCAAGCTAACTGAAGCAATATTTCCCATTTGATTACCAGGGTAACTGAAATGCATAGATAGTGAAAATAATTTCTAAAAAATGTATTTGTAAACTAGATATGCAATTTTTAAAACAGAAAAGAAAAGCTGATTTTGTTGAAAACAACTATCTTAACCACAATCATCTAGAAAATGTAGAAGATATTGATTATTTCTGCCACCAAACATTAAACCTCTTGCTCAGTGAGTTGTTTGTGAATCACGTGCTGCGAGGAAGTATTACAACTTAAAAAATATTTGATAAAAATCTCTTGATGAAGTATGTTTGAAGCATCCATTTTGAAAGCGATCCAATACACTCATATATGCTGAGATTTGGTTTCAAATGCCCAGCGAGTGGCTAAATGGTTAAGACTGCTGAATACTGATAGTTCTTCCTGGTTTAGGTTTAATTCCAGGAAAAGGGACAAGCTGCATGGTTGCTTTTCATAGTTTCCCTTATATGTAATGTGAATACAAGCCAGTTTCACCAAGAGAGTTCTCCTTGAAAGCATCGCTTCTCTTAGATATGCACTTACGGCCATGCCATATTCAAATAATCTTGATTTCAAATAAAAATATGAAAAATTGTTTTAGAAAAAGAAACTAGCTGAAGATTATGATTCAGATTCATTATTGGTCAATCATAAATGAAAGAGGCTATGCTCTTTCCTTTCGTAATGCCTATGTAGATATCAATAACATAATTGCATTACATCAGCATGTAACCATAAAAGATTTAACAATGTAATCTATTCAATGAAAAACATTGAAAATGAATTATTAAAGTAATTAAAAGTATCAATTAAGGTAGTAATTTTTTTTCACTGCCTAGCAATGACAAATGTAATTAGAATATTAAATACATGAGCAAGAAACATTTATCATAATGAAACTTTCATTACACAAGTTTAAACAAACACTCCATGTCATAATTTTCAAGTGTAGCAAAAAAACTGAAACTTCAGATTCTTCATATACATTTCAAAAGATGTATTATTTACCTAATTTATTGATCTATATTGCTGTTATAAAGGTTGCAATAATGTAAAAATTTACATTAATGTATACTGAAGTACTATTTCTTTTCACTGATCCTTTGAAATTGTTACATCATTTAAGGCTTCAAAATTTTTTCCTCCTTTGAATGATGACTTGTATTTCACTTGAAAGTTCGTATCATTATTAAGTAAGCTGAACATTTCTCTTGAAATTTATAAACATGTGTTTTAAACAATTATTATTTAGTTAAACTAAGATTAGCTTTCTATTTAATAAAAATAATAAGAATATAATTCGAAAAATTGAAATTATTGCAACTATACATAACAGAAGTTTTTTAAGCCAATATAGACCTTCTCAGAAAATTAGATATTTTTAAAATCTCCCGTAGATTTCGTTTGAATTAATTGTTAATTCATAACATTACATTTTACTGGTCACAAAAATAGCTATAAAGAATACCCTTTTTTCTTAATACTGCTTTGCAATGAAAGGCTTAGTTTAAGAAAGCCTGAGAGATAAATTTAAAACAAAATTTTGTTATTTATTTTAGGCTGCAGCAAAAACAGAAAAATCCTCACTTAGGAAATAGCTGCTTTCTGCTCTGCAGAATGGCCTTTTTGGATCAGCTCATGAAGATACATTTAAATAACATTTTATACAATAATTTATTTTATTCTTTTTCTTCATAGCTTCCATTCATTATGGTGATATAAGATCATTACAGAATATTTGAGAAAAAAAATTTAAAGTAATAAAGCAGTATATACCAAGTAACAATATATTTCACAAACAAATGCAGATCAAGCAGTTCAAAGGGTCAAGAATCATATTCAAAACTTTTTGATTCCAGAAAAAACAGAGAAATATAAATGCATAATAAACTGATGAACAGATGATAATATGCAGAATCATATACAATATTATTTACTGGCAACCAAATAAAGAAAATATAATATTACTGGTGCAGCACAGAAAAACAGCCCATCTGCCATTCATTATTGCAATTCTTTTTTGAAGAGAATACATGTTATTCAGTTCCTTCACATTTTTCTGCCCCCATGTTTGAAAGTTTTTTTTTTTTTTGAGGGGGGGGGCAAAGGGATAGCCTACAACAGCTGGATAAATAAAAATAAAGCATATGATATGAGCTAACAATAATTGTACACACAAGTGAAGTTTTTTATGTGCTACCCTTTACTATAAATCATTGTCAGAAATAGTATAATTTTCAAAATATTTTCCTTAGTTACAGCTTTAGAGAAAAGTTTAAAGCAGTAACTACAGAAAAGAGGCATGAGAAAAATCTATATTGCAAACATTTAGTAAGGTAACATTCCCAATTATCATTCTATGCTAACTATTTTTCTAATTACAGATTTTCCTATGAGTTTATAGATAAATATTTCGTCATTATGTTTTAAACCAGTTTTACTTCTCTCCTATGAAAATAGCTCATTTCTGAAGAATGCAGAATGTTTTAAAATTCAACTTACAAGTGACTCTGTGAGTCCTCCAACACTCACAATAAATCCAAGTAATAAATTATGTGTGTAACACGGAAACTGAAGGACTTGAACAAAGTAATGAAAGGTATCTCCTGGAGAGGCCCATTTTATTTCATCACAAACTTCAGAATTGAAAACTTCTAATAATTCTTGATGAAATGGCACATGTGGAACTCTTGGTTCACTATAAAAAGGGAAAAAGAGACACAATTCACTAGAACAGCTAATTTTTCAAATGCAGAAATTGTTGAGCTAATATGTCAAGACAAAATTTTATTTTCTGTCTTGTGATAAATATTCTTTATATTAATTAAAAATACATGAATAATACTTTCACAAGTTAAATAGAAGCATCATTTCATTTAATACATTTGAAAACACTGTATATTTTTTAAAATTTACAGTATGAATTTTAACCTTTCACTCACAGAGATTATTCGATTCTTACATATTATAGCAATCACTTTTATAGAAGTGACAAAGTAGTCAATTTAGTACAAAAGTTTTTTTTTAGAAAATTTTGCTTTGCTGGGGACGAAATCTTCTGTTTGAAACTTTTTTTTTAACTGCAACTATATTTCTGAAAGTATAAATTATCGTCTGCTACTTGACAGTTTTGTTTCAAGCAAAATCTTGCTTTTAAAGAAGCAATGTATGGAAGGCTATGTTTGTATTCTTTCCGAAGAAAATCATTCGTATCTAGTTATTAAAAAACATTGTTAAAGCCACGATTTTTCGATAGCTAAAGCTATGATAGGTATTGTTATTAACAAAGGGAAAAAACTTCAAGATTTAGCTTCAAGTGGAAAAATTGTTCCAAATACATATCAAAGGAAAAAAACAGAATATATCGAATGTTCGTAGGATCTTTAATGTTAAAAGAAGATCCTCCAACTCTAAAGACAGTTGCAAAATTATTAAAATGCTCAGTGTCAACTGTAAAAAAAAAAAAAACATTAATGCTGATTTGAATCTTAAAAAGGTGAAAAAACATAATGTGCATTGTCTTTCTCTACGACATATTGCGGAATGCAGACTTCTTTATGAGAATGTTTATCTGGATAAAAATGGGAAAACGTTGTCACAATGGACTAATTGTGGATGTACTTAAATGACTGCAATAAAAAGAGATCCATTTATCAAAGAGGAGAAAAATTTTAAAACATGGTTCAAGGAATCTTAAGAAAGTTTTTATAAGAGCTTTATGATTGTTGCTGGTTTTTCAATTAACAACAAATTAAAAATAGAGAGAGTGGAGAAAATGTAAAGATCAACTCCACGCATTATCAAAAACAAATTTTTCACCAAACTTTCAGATATGAAATACCTTCTCTTTACACACAGTGTGATCAATCAGTAGAACTGTATCAAGATACGGCAAGCTGTCACACATCAAAATCTACTATTAATTTTCTGGAAAAACTGGAACAAGGAAATATCCTTCAATCATATCCCTACTAAATCTCCTGACGTATCAATATATTTTTGAGCTTTAGGACTTTTAAAAAGCAGGTTGTCTAAACGTCAACCTACAACCTCCCTGGACTTTGGAAAGCTGTTTAAGAGCAAAATACCTCTTCTGATACTAGAAAAGGCTTTATTGTCTTGGAAATTATGATGTACAAAGATAACGAATGAATAAGGGTTATCAAATAGAACATTTAAAACATAAAAATTTTATAAAAAATATTTTTGCAATTACAATGCAAATCATTTAAAAAAAAAAAAATGTGTGAACAGCCTCTGTATGACTAAGGAATTTAAAAGCAGTGAAAGAAACCGAGTTAAAATATCTGCAGGAATACAGCATTTTGTCAAAAATTGCTAAAAGGAATTAACAATGAGATGTGTTTGGTAAATAGCCAGTGTGCAATGCCAAGTTAGTGCAATTCTGATTTTTTTAAGTGAAAACAGATGGCTGTGCACATGGGGAGAAGAGCAGCATTAAAATATTACAGAAGGATTTCCTGAAAAATGAAGGCATTTTATTTTTTTAATGTATCTTATAGTCATTCTTTAATGATTAAAGATTGTATTTAAAAGTTTTAAAGTGTGTTTCATTTGATATGTTGATAATGTTTGCTGACTTAAGACAAATAAAATTAACGATAACTGACTGACTTTAAATATTGGCTGACTTATGATAAATATGAATAAAGTTTGGGAATGTTGAAAAAAATGCAAAAATTGCCAATTTACACCTAATATGCAATTTTTAATTTTTCATCTGTAAAAAGTCACCAAACTGCAGCAAGGTGGTTGCATTAATAAAGTACTAATCATTCTTAACCTCTTTAATTTAGCTATTGCTCTTGAAAAATACTGCAAAATTATTAAATCAGCACTTCAATCTAAATGCAATATGAATCAAAAGGTGCATGAGAAGGCCAGACACGTTCTGGGTAAGTTGAAATCTTCCATTTATACGAATTTTGAATGCATCAAAGCTGTTAAATTTATGGATGCATATAAGGAAAGTTTGAAAGATGCCATTTCAAGACCTAGTAATGCTAGTGTGGCACCATCTGATGTTACAAAGGTTAATGAAAAGTCTCGATTTCTTCGGATTATTGCTTAATTGTAGACTTTGAAAATTGCTCTTCTGTCGACGTTTAGGAAAGTCATTAAACTAAAAATAAATCCACTAGAAGCTGAGTTAGGTGTCTGTAATTAAAAAAAATATTGGAAAAAATAAAGTCTTGGTTAAATGATAGAAAATGATCAGAATCGACTTCAAGCTGAGATTAAGAAAAAGGGTCCGGAATTAAACACATCTTTGCCAAAAAAGAGGAATCCTGTTTTACTTGTAAAAAATGTGCCAAATGAAATACCTGATGAAGATCTTCTGAAAGTGATTTTTGAACAAAATCTCAAAGTTGTTGAATCTGATGAAAACAAGAATATGTGTAGAGTTCGTTTTCCAGTTCATGAGGCACATTGTGATTGAAATGCACCCCATGGTTCATAAATGTATTTTCAATCAAGCCAAGTTGAAAATTAATTGGAGTGTATGAAACTGATGATTTTATTGAATCATCAATTGATGTTTCAAGTGTCTTGGGTAAACCATTCTGCTGATGAATGTTGTGAGTAAACAGCCTGTTTTAACCATTCTGGTGAACACAAAGCAAAGGACTGTTCGAATAGGAATGCTGTAGCTTATATAAATTGTATCTGTTTCAATCATTAAACAAATAAAATCCATAACAAAAGTAAATGCTAATCATAAGCCCTTAGAGTGCTGTTCTAGTCATGATTTTATGAGAAAGAACATTCAATCTCAAATTGATTATGGCTAGATTGGCTAGACATGTTCTAAAGTGTGTGCAGAACCTTCATAAATCTAAATCTGCAATACAACAGCTCAGTTTAAATATGGAAGCTGATAATATTGACTGTGCTTTGGTTCAGGAGCCTCATTATCACAAGAATTTTCTTCCAGGCTATCCTGGCAATTATAGACTTTATTATGATCCCAATTCTGACAATGTAAAGGTGACAATCACCATTTGATCAAGTGATCTTTCAGCTTTTCTTGATTATTAAAATATGGATTACAATATGATCACCTTGGATAACATTGCTGTTGGCGCAACTACGCTCACTCTTTTTTCTTACTATTTTGAAACCTCAAGAAACATTGATTTAGATCTTCACAAAATTCTTTATATACAAAAGTCTTAATCGACTGGTTTGGTATATGGACTCTAATGGCAAATCTGAATTATGGTTTAGTCCCTATTCAGATGCTCGGGGAGATAAACATACTGAATTTATTTCTGCCAATAACCTATTTGTTATTAATGAAGATTATGGACCTATGTTTCAGGAAAATCAAGGTTCTAGCTACATTGATGTTACTGTTACTGGCTCAGATCTTCTCCACTCTTTTTCAAGCTGGCGGCTGTCTGAAAAAGAATCCCTTTCTGATCAACATGACGATTGAATTCGAATTTTGCCTCTCTATGGTCTTACAACACACCTCAAATGTTCCTTTTAAAATTTTCAATACAAAGAAAGCAAATTGGGATTGTTTTCGGGACTTTTGCTTTTCTCGTGCCACCAATTTCATTGATATTCTTAATGATTGTACTGAAGGTTCCTGCCTAAATACTCTTGCTGAGTATCTTAGTTCTGTTCTTTCAGCATCTCTCATTTCCATACCTATTAGGACTCATGGCAAGCACAACGTTCCTTGGTGGTCTAACGAAATTGGTTGTATGAGAAAGAGGTTTAATACCTCTAGGTGTAGATTTCAGCATTTTAAAAATCCGTCTCTTAGAGAAACGTATAAAGGTAAATATCTCGAATATAGAAAAATGTATAATGTTCACAATGTATGGAAAAAGATTTACATTGCTATGCTTCAGAAATCTTTACCTTGAGATCCAATGATGATGATTTGCATAAGGAATACGATCAATCTGCCCATACTGCTTATTCTTCTTTTGTTGATCGTATGTTTTCCCGTGATGAAGTTAATATAGTTATTTCTATGCTGGAACAAAATAAATCACATGGTCCTGATTCTATTTCAAATGAGATTATTAAACAGTTTCATTTAACGTTTCCTCATATTCTCCATAAACTTTTTAATGTCTCCCTAGATGTTGGCATTTTCCCACGTGTTTGGAAACATGCTCAAGTAATTCTTATCCCTAAAGGAAATGAGTCTAGGCTTCCACACTTAGATAATCTTAAATGCATAAGTTTACTTCCTGCTTTAGGCAAGTCCTTGGAAAAACTATTTATTAACATAATTTGCTGGTATCTCCACCATGGTGACCTTCTTTCTGGTGATCAGTATGGTTTTACACCTCAAAGAAGTTCTGAAGATGCTCTTTCATGCTTGAATGAAATAGTTCAGAGAATAAAAAGAAAAACTTACACATTATTTTGGTCTTTTTGGATATTAAGGGCGCCTTCGACAATGCGTGGTGGCCTTGTATTCTCAATCTTCTCAAAAAAGTGAAACTTCCAATAAATATTTTTTCACTTGCTGCTGACTTTTTAAATGATCGGACAGCCAAACTGTATTAGGCTCGGCTTCTGCAATCCATCACCTTGAAAGGGATTGTCCTAAAGGCTCAGTTTCAGGACCTACGTTTCAATCAAAGCTGGATTAACTATCAAAGTTGAAAAATCTTGCTTGTTGTGATAATATTGCCTTTGCGGATGATATCT